AGGTTTTTCATTGGAAATGTTTTTACCTCTCTTTTTATTCAGATTTATGATATGAAAATGTCTACAACAGTTAGTTCCAGTGACACAATCTGATTGAGAAGCTTTCCACCCATGTTGTTATTTTGGTAGCAGCATCTTTTTTGCGCTAACTGTATTATTTCACTGAACACTGGTTGCTAAGTATTTACGCTAATCGTTACTAATTTTCTATTTCAGATCACACGAAAACAGAAAATGGATACATTGGATAACTTCTAGAAGATGATTCTTGACCTGTAGCCTGTCTGGTCAGATTCTGAAGAAGCGTATGACAGCAGGCTTTCGTCAGATATGACTAAACAAACTGAAATTAGCCAGAAGTGGAAACAAGATAAGCTTTGAAATGCTGTACAGACTGACTGGGTCAAAATGCATTCAGGTTAATCTGGCAGATTTTTTAAAATCTTGAGCTTAAACTGATTGTGACAGTTTATGGCATTCATAATGTAAAAGGCTGCTACTTTTTGGTCTAAGGAATTGAAGGAATTTGATACACTCTCCTTTGCTTCTTTTTCTTCTTATTATTACAATTATTTGCATTATTTTATTTTGCAGAGCTGTTGTGTGAAAACAATAGAACACTCAAAATTATGATGTTATGCGTTATACAACAGTAGGTCCGGCCACGCAAGCTGATTGGTTGAGAAGCGTTCTAACCGTGAGGTTATTTCGCCATAACATCACAGTTTTTTCACAAACACTGTATCACTCCGCTGAGACGCCATTGCTAAGCAACGACTTTGACGGCTGTAGGAGACGCTCAAGCCATTTGAACGTTTTTACTTCTTACTTTGCCACAAACAGAAAATGGACACTTTTGAGATCACATTTGACCGACAGCCAATTTGGTCAGACTCTGAAGATGAGACTGGAATCAGCCAGAAATGAACCCAATACCATTCGCCAAACAAAATGGGCTGTAAGATGCTTTACAGACTGGCTGGAACAAAACAACATTAATACTGATCTGGTAAAAATTTACAAAACTGAGCTAAACTTGATATTGTGGCAGTTTTATGGCTCAATCCGATTTGGTTAGACTCTGAAGATCAGATTACACGTTTGGCGAATGGTATTGGGTTCATTTCTGGCTGATTCCAGGTTGTTTAGCTGTTCTTCTGTCACAGCTGCCGACTGAAAAGCTGCTCAGTGGTGATGACAGTTTGGGAATTTAGTGTAAGGAGCTGGAGAACGAACTGCCGGCTGTGCAGTGAGTGAGCGGAGTTTGTTACTCTGACGCAGCAACAAGCTGCTTGTTAAGGAACTATAATTTGGTGAAGGAACTGTGAACATTAAAACATATTAAACGCCGCGTTCACAGCCCAGTTTATTGATTTCTCACTTTATTTATTTAACTGTTGTATAAAAACAATAGAACACTCGAGGTCGTGTGTTATCATGAATAGCATCATGGCTGTGATGATCTACTGAGACCAAATCACAGCTGTGATGTTATTTCACGATAACACGCTCCCTCTCGTGTTCTATTGCTTGATGTACACATGACCTAGAGTGTTCTGTTGCTCAAATATTATACATTAACTAGGGTTGCGATTATTATCAATATGAAATAAATTTAAAGGCAAAATTGTGTTGATGTAATATGTTTTATTCATGTGGATATAAAGTAAATTCAAGGCATGGCTTTTTCACTGTAGTCTAACCACAAAGAGGGAAACAGTGTCAAGCTGACTGACTGGAAGTTGAAATCTAGTTACACTGTTGGCACATTCTGCCTGACATGCTATTAGTCAAAGCTTCTCCAGAGTAAGGAATTCCCCCGCTGTTCTTCTGTTATAATCCAGATGATGCAACGGGCGAAGACTCAGCCTCTTCTGGACTCTCTCTGACGTCCCCATCCCCCTCACCCTCTGGCCCTGAAGAGTTGAGCTAGGGGTCAGTGGCACTCTGCCTTGATGTTCCCAGACAGGCATTCCAGATGTGTACTGACGGAGAGGTGAGGGTGCGATCCATCTCACCAAAACCACAGACTAAACCTTAGACGTCCCGGGCCCACCTTTCTGTACGGGTCTGGACGTAGCGGTCAGAGAATCAGCACTGGACTAATTGAGCTATATCCCAAATAATTGGTTCCAGCAGCACAGACTACAGTTGAGCTGAAAGATTTAGAGGCAGCATAAGCGAGAGAGGATAGAAATTTGGGTGGACTGCTGTGTAAAGTTTAATTCAAAGAGAACGTGATTATTGGAGAACTGGGACAACATACATGAGTTTCTGTTGCATGCTGGGAGTGTAAAAGTTGTCATTGCATTGTTATGCATCAGTCCAAATCAGACAATTCAGCTGCATCAATTTTACATACATACATACATCATCTAAACCGCTTATCCTTCTGGGTCGCGGTGGGGCGCTGGAGCCTATCCCAGCTGTCATTGGGCGGAAGGCAGGATACACCCTGGACAGGTCGCCAGTCCATCGCAGGGCAGACATACACAGTCACACACACACTCACACCTAGGGGCAATTTTAGCACGTCCAATTGGCCTGGCTGCATGTCTTTGGACTGTGGGAGGAAACCGGAGTACCCGGAGGAAACCCATGCAGACACGGGGAGAACAGGCAAACTCCACACAGAAACGACCCTGGTCGCCCGGCCGGGAATCGAACCCAGGCCATTCTTGCTGTGAGGCGACAGCGCTACCCACTGCGCCACCGGCTGCATCGATTTTAGAATATTATAATCAGTTGTAGTTGGTTGTAATAATGTTCAATAATGTATGTGCTATTTTTCGGCATAGTTAAAGGCTCACGCTATTTCCAAATGTAAAAATATATTTTGAAAAAGCTTTTAAAGCTCTTTTAGCTGTTTTTATTGTCTGTATTCAGCTACTGTGTAAATAGCTCCCTCGGACACATTTACATATTCAGTGCATATTTAAAAATACTTTAGAATATTACCACAGTAATCACATCTAATTGAATCGTATTGAACGTTTGAGGTTTCATGATGCATTAAAACGTTTCCTAAAGAACTGTAATCAAACAGCGGTCAGGGATTTACACCCCAATGGCCTATAGAATAAATAAATGAATTCCAGCCTGCCCACTTAAACATTCTCGAAGTTGTCGCTGAATGCTTGGAATTATTTTTGTCTATCAGAATTAGATTTATGGAATTGTCATCTACATTTTATACCAATATGACATTGCTAGTGCTATCATTGGTTGTGGCTCACTGCACGGTCAGAATGCGGATACCCTGTGTGTACTTCAGTTTCTCATAGTGGTCACTGCGGTTGTGGCTAACTTAAAGCACACTGATCCTTGTGGTTATTTCCAGACGTTTCCCAGAACAAGCAGGTGAGGATGTGTTTGGCCATCAGTAAATTTCTTGCACTCTTAAGCAAAAACCCAGAGACTGATACACTTTTTCTTTTCTATCTTTGTGAATGTTTAAATACTTGCACTGGATTTATGGTATTTTTCCCCATTGTCAGTGATAGCGATGACTAACTTTTTAAACCCCCCCCCTCACACTTCATTGCCTCAGCTTGGTGAAGGCGGGTGGCTCATTTTACTGACAGATGACACCTGGAGGAAGCTGTGAAAATAAAGATACCAGAACAACACATTGTGAAGTGGAAAGGTATTACTGAATTTTTTTTACAAATACTTACCATATGGAAAGAGGAAGAACGTCTTCTGTCTCTAGGAAAGCCATAAACTAATGGCATGAAAAATTTAACCATTGTAAGCAATAAAAAACTGGCCATTTGTAAGCAGTGATTAGCAGTAATTGATGATAACTGATAAGCACATCAACTAAAAGCAGCAATTGATAATAATACAGTAACTGTACGTGCTCTCCTGTAAGTCTTTAATCATTTATTCACGATTTGTAAACATTTTGGTAGCACAGTTAAAACTTCTGGATTGTTTCCATCAGAGGTCTCCAATCCTCTGGATCTTGCATATTGTAGCTTTGAATGACAGTAGTTTACTTTTAAACTGTGGATATGTTAATGTTTACTTCTTAATCCACAAGTTTGTTACCACACTGAGTTTGGGTGACATTTCTGCACTCCTCATCATTTCTTCTCACTGCACTAACGTGTCCATGTCAAAGACCAGCTTAGTAAACTGCAGCTTCTGAATGGTTCAATAGAATTTAGGGTGTGAGTTCTGATTTCGGATCTACCCGCAAGTTCAAAGACCCACAACCATGTAGCTGATGATCAAAAATACTTTCTCTTGATAGTTAATGATGCTTTTGATTGTTCTTTTTGAAATTGGACTTTTTATATAACTTGGGAGTGTCCTTCCAGTCATTTCTAATCCATTCAAAATCCATGACTTGCGAGTTTAAGAAAAACAAATCAGGAGAAATCGCCCACATAGTGGTTTTCAGAAGAAAGGAGAAGTGAAAGAAGAGAGATCAGAATGTTACTGTTATAATTATTGGGTCATCATGCAGAATCTGATAGATTTCAGAGATGTGATCAATAGAATCAGTGCATTCTTTTATTAAAAGGCCTCCCTTTTCTTTTACTTTCATTCTTATCTCTCAGTCAGGTAAGAGATGCAGCACTGTGAAGGGAGCGTAACCCAAAATTTTATCTGTCAAAATTTTATCTGAGCCAAAATAAATTGTACTAAACATTAAAAATAATTAACTGAAGTTAAACAGCGATGCTTGGGGTATTTTTACTTTAGGCTGTAATATAATTAACATCAATAAAGACATATTACTTAAGATGATTATGCAATTAATACTAGAGCTTCTAGAGAGGCTTCCACTAACATACTAGAAATTACAGCATGAATAAATAATATTTGGATGTAGCATTCGTTTTTTACTTTGTTTTTAAGTGTAGTAGTGAAAAAAAAAAACATGACCATGCAAAATCATACAAGCACACACCCACACACACAAACACACACACTTACACATTCATCAAGATATTAGTCAGAACACAGAAAGTGCTGTCCTGGGAGATGACTAAAGCTAATGAAGCGCTCATCATTTCTTCCCAACTTTAGCCTAACTCCTCCTCCAGCCATGCTGAGGATGTTTTAGATCGGATGGACACAGACGAGCTCCAGATGCACTCAGAAAGGAGAGGGTTTACTCCTGCCTTGCATGCCTTCACTCCTAGTTCATTCTATGGACCAGTGGACCAGTCCATCCTCACTGCATGCGCATGTCAAGCCGGATCAAGAAGAACTGTCTCTGCCTATAACTCTAAACTACTGACTATGTAGGAATTTCTCCTGCTTTTGGTTCACCAAGGTTCCTAACTTTTTTCGTAGAGACACTTTTCAGCGGCTGTATTTTTAGCCGTTAGTTAGTCTTTTTCGTCCTTTATTTTTACTGTCGTTGATTTCTGGCCATAACAGTCTGTTTGCTGTTTTTTCCATAGGAGCATTTCTCCTGTATTTCTGTTTATAGAAGTCTTTTTTCTTATAATTTTGGCCGCTGGAGTCTTTATACCGTATTTCTAACCGTAGGAACCTTTCGCCTTTTTTGTGTAAGAAGCCGTTGTTGCTTGTTAGCTGTAGTTTTGGTGTTCGTGGCTGTTGCTCCTGAGCCACTCTTCTTCCTCAATGCTGACAGAGTCGTGTGGGCTGATGGGATCGGACGTGCGAGATTTGAGCGCCATGCTGCCCGCTGTGCCCACTATCCCAGGGGCCAACAGCACTGGGGCTCCACAGTGGGGGCCGATTATGGACTTTCACTCTGGAGCCTTGCCCTCACACTCCTTCATCAAGCAGGAGCCGGGCTGGGGGGCGCCAGAAGTCCACAACGACCCGCACTGCGGCCTGGGGGCCTTCACCGTCCACTTCTCCGGCCAGTTGACAGGGGCAGGCGGCTGCAGGCACGGAGCCTTCCCAGAGGCACCGAACACCCAGGGCAGAGCGTTCCCCAGCGGACCTTACCTGTCCGGCTGTGCTGACAACACTCCGGCTCCACGGAACCAGGGTGAGTGACTCTTCTCTGCTTTCTGTGAACTCAGTTAAGGTCAGCACATTTTCACAGATCAGTTTCAATAAGTGCATGAAGACTTAGTGTACTTGTGGTCAGGTGTTTACAGTGGGATGCCGTAATTCTAAATTCTCCATGTGTTTCAGATATGAGTGGGAAGGTGTGCCAGCCAACCTTAACAATATATGCAATATTGTCCTGGAACTATTAATGCATCACTCAAATTATTTACCTCTCACACAACCTCAGGGAATAAGAATATAAATTAGGGACCTGATTATATCAGTGGCTTAAAGGTTTCCCCTGTATTCTGTAAAGTAAGATGCTTTAAAAGGTCACATAGGCCTGATTTCCTGGGTATAGATTAAGTGGGCAATGTTTCAGTGCCAGTGGTGATTCACCATTAGAAATACTAGTCTAAAACTAGGCTGAATACACATGAAACCAACCTATGGCGTCTTTATCGTTAGCGTAGTGCATAATAGAGCATTAATACTATTCAGGAACCTCCGCCTTATATGATGTACTATTATCTCTGAAGTTAAATGCTTCATTTGATGTATTTACCTCTGGCACAGAGGACATAAGCTAGATTACATCAATAGTGTTTGTTCTGGAAAAGCTATTCTGCTGTATATTAAAGTAGGTGCTGAAAAGATTACGTAGTGCCTTTAAGGTCAGATGTTTACAGTGGGATGTTGCAATGCTAAAATCTCCCTGTGCTTCAGATATACTGGAAAAGGGTTTCAGCATAGTGCTTTGTGGAACACAGGGACAACTAACTATTTAAGAACATTAACCTTGTATGATATAATTACGATTATGAACCTTATATGATGCCGCATATTATCCTTTACCACTTAATGCATTTACTTCTTTTTAAGAAGATACCATTGAGAAAAGACCCCTCTTCCATAGTATATTTAATTAGAGGCTAAAAATATCACACAAATATCACGTAATAGTATTATAATATTAATAATAATATTAGTGTTTTGCTAATTTTGGTGTTTAAAAGTGAATAAATTACCATGTTTTGCTAAGTTTAAATAAATATATATTTGAAAAGAATATTGGTTTAATATTGGTTTCACAGCAGCCACATTTAGTGTAACTAACGCGGTGGCTTGTTGATATGCGTTGTGGATATTTTTGGGGGTTGAGACGTCTTTTATGCTGATTGCATGTACAGTGTATTGCTCTTTATGATAAATATAAAATATAACAAAATATAAAATGTAGTATTTTTAAATAGTGTTTTATTCAGTTTTGTGTGTGTACTTATGTAACACTGAGCATGAGTGAATAACCCACAGCAAGTGGGAACAGACTGTCTCCTTTGAACCTGAGATTGCAGCATCAAACCAAAATTACTGTGCTCTGAATTTGACCTCACTTAAATCAGAATTTTCCTGACTTGCTCCAGCTCAGGAACTTGCACAAAGATCTGCGCGTTTTGTTATTGCGTTCTAGTTCCCAGATATTTCATTTGTGATTTTAAATGAAGAACAAAGTCAAAATGACAAAATTGCTGATTAATAGTTTGAGTTTATTGGTCTCGAGTGGCTGTCCCACAGGATGTTGGGTTCAATTTCCCATCACAAAGATAGACGATAAGCAGATTAAGAACCATATATCTGATGTTTATTGTTTTTTTGAGAACTGCAATGAAAATACTTTTTGCAAGGAGGGTGGCTTCGGCTGTCTTTAGGTGGGTTACCACAGGTTTGAGTTGTAAAAACGGACACTGCAGAGGATTGTGAACCGCAGTGGATGTGCATACAGTCAGGACGCAAGTTTTAAAGGACCTATATTATGGAAAATAAAATTTGCTCACTTAATTTTAAGTAAAAGTGTTTCAGCCTAGACTGATTTTTAGCAAAACACAAAGCAGCCAATCAGAACAGAGCTATTTACATATAGTCACTGTCCAATGAAAAACATCTTTTTTTGCAGTTTTTACTTTTCTGCATCATTTGAGCTCAGCTGTGAAATGTGAAAATTTCGTGATGATTGGACCAATAGAAATGCTCAGAAATTGCTTAGAATAAAATCTCTTTCCATTAACTTACATTGAAAGTGAAGAACGTTTTTGCCCTCTTCTGTAAAGCTACTATTTAGGAGATACTTGTTTTTCTTCGGACAGAGATGATATATCATATATGTCATAGTAACAAAGCAGCCTGTTTAATTCTAAGGGATAAAGAGAGGTTGGAAAACAGTCATGTTAAAAAAGATTATGACTGTTCTTGGTACATAAACCATATAAACATCATGATACAAAAACCCCAACTTTTAACACCATCATTCAGAAGTAATACAGTATGAAATAGGAAGATCAAGAGGCAGATCATGGGGGCAGCACGTTTTGGGTTGCAGATGCAGAAATCAGATATTTTCTGTTCTTACACAAACTGGAGTTGCCTCAAAGTCAACATGAATGGGAAATCGTAACGTGTTTTCCTCCTGTACTGTGGCGTATTTCTAAGCGAATCACAGTATTGGGGGGTGGGGGGTGGTCTCTAAACTAGCAGAGTATTTTCTTTTAATGATAAATGGGGAGGTGGGGGTGAAACATGATATTATTGCTTAACATTATTGGCGCCTGCTGGTGCGCAGTGATGTAGTCAAACATCAGACACTGTTTTAGAGGCCACAGTCACTACATATTAATGGAAGACTATGAGAAAGAATTTTAAATGATGTGATGAATCATGTTTGATATGACCAAGATCATGAATTCAAGTAAATTGATCAATTTTCAGGTTGACTTTAATGATGGATTGTTTCAATTTAACATCCAGTTTAGAGATGTTTAACTATACAGTCGCCCTGTTGTACTGCAAGTACATCTGTGTTATGAAGCACTCTGGTGCTGGCTGCTGTGGTGGAATTAGGATTTTGGTAACTTATTTTTTATTACCCTTAAATCTGTTTTTGCGAGTGCGTGTGAAAAAAGCCAACTTTCCACAGGAAATTCACTGTCAGGGTTCAGTGCTCTTAGAAATGTGTAATATCTATAACACGCACAGGATTCGAAAGTTTAAGAAATGTACTGGAATAAAACAACTAAGCAGATAACACATCTCTCTCTCTCTCTCTCTCTCTCTCTCTCTCTCTCTCTCTCTCTCTCTCTCTCCCTCTTCCATCGCTCCCTCTCTATTCCATTTCTCAACATGTCTCTCGAACCCTTTCCTCTCTGTTTCCTCACTATCTCGTTCTCTCTCTCCTGCAGGTTTCGATGGTGCCCCAAATTATGGACACACTCCCGCTCACCACTCTCCACCTTTCCCGTGTTCGCACCCTTTCAAACACGAGGACGCTGTGTCTCCACAAAGCACCATGGGTAAGCACACAGGGGCGTGGAAAACATTCAGATCATTCTAAACAGTCATCTGTTTTATTTTTACAAGACTATAATTGTCAGTAGTTTGGCATTTTGTGAGCACATGGTGAGGATGAGTGTGAATGAGTGTGTTTAGGGTTAATTTATTAGCAGAAAGAGTTTGACATCTCAGAGATCCACTGAGAAACCAAAGCCATTTACCTCCAAGTCAGACTAAGGGTGTCAAACTGTGAGTGCTGTAAATGAAGAAGTATTCGCTCTCCAGCCAGCTGCTTTTCTCTCTCCCTTTCATCCATTTCCACTACATTTACTATCCACCAAGAACGAGAGAGAGTGTAAGAGTGCGAGAATGTGCAGGCTTGTGTTTTGTAATTTACTAAATGAGCTCAACTTACTAACTTACCTGCTATAAAGGTATTGTTTCATTAATGACTATCGCCAAAGACAGCAATATTACAATATTTGTCGTTATCGTGATAAACGTCTTCACAATATGCCATAACGTGCTTTTCTGAGTGTATTGTGGATATCGTCAGTACATATTTCGTTACAAAGAGAGCATACAGTTGAAATTAAATAATGGATATGGGCTCAAATTGCAGACTTTCAGCTTTAATCTGAGGATATTTACACCCGAAACAGGTGAACAGTGTAGGAATTACAACCATTTTCATACATAGCCCACCATTTTTAGGGGCTTAAAAATAATTGAGCTGAGCTGATTCACGACCAGGTGCATGTTATTCCCTCATTATTTCCCTTCCAAGTAAGCAGATAAAAAAAGGTCTAGAGTTGATTTCAAATATGGCATTTGCAGTTTGAATCTGTTGCTGTTAACTCTCAATATGAAGTCCAAAGCCATCATTAGGCTGGAAAATCAAAACAAACCCATTAGAGAGACAGCAAAAACAGGTATGTCTGACCAGCTATCTTGTACATTCTTCAAAAGAACGAATGCACCGGTCAGCTCAGAAACATGAAGGCCCAGAGGACGAAGGAAAACAACTGAGAATTCTTTTCCTGGTGAAGAGAAACACTTCACAGCAGTTGGCCAAATCAAGAGCACCTTCCAGGGGGTCTCATTGACTCTGACAAAGTCAACAATCAGTGAAGTAAAAACCAGAGTAAATACAGAGGGTTTACCACAAGACATAAACCAAAATTAGGGTGACCAAATTACAGTTTGCCAAAAAAAATAAAAAAACTAAAAAAGTCTGCACAGTTCTGGAACAACGTCTTTTGGACAGAAGAGACAAAGATCAGCTTGTACCAGAATGATTGGAAGAGAAGAGAAGAGTCTGGAAAAGGGAAGGAGCTGCTCAGGATCCCGAGCATACCACCTCATCTGATGTAGTGTTATGGCATTGGCATGTATTGCTGCCAGTGGAACTGGTTCCCTCGTATTTGTTGATGATATGATTGCTAACAAAAACAGCAGGGTGAATTTTGAAGTGTATACAGCTATGCAGTTTGCTTCATCTGTGCTTTTCAGTGCAAATGCACAATGACCTGAATCATATTGCGAGACTTTTGTAAGGCAAAGAAGAGGAATGTTATGCAATGGCCAAGTCAATCACCTAACCTCAGTCTAATCAAGCATGTATTCAACTTACTGAAGGCAAAACTGAGATCAAAACAAGCAAGAACTGAAGACAGCTGCAGTAAAGGTCTGGGAGAGCATCACCAAGGAAACTCAGTGTCTTGTGATGTCTGTGGTTTCAGCACTTCAGACAAGTTCTCTGGCAGTACTGCTCTGGCTGTATTGACCTCCAAAGGGGCCTGGTGTTCGTATAGCAGCAGTGAATGTCTGAAAAGGAGGCAATGCTAATGTAACCAGTGTAGGAGCTCTGGCTATAAATAAACACATGAAAGAAAGGCATGATATGGAGTCAGTCAGGAGACTGTAATAATATATTTTGTGGTTTTACTGTTTGTGGTAGGTGAGTTAGCCAGTGTGCTAACTGCAATGTTAGCTTAATGGCTAATCGCTGCTGCACACAAGCCAGTGTGCAGCACTTTTATCGCAAATACATAGTTATGTGATATAATTATGTTCACGTTTTTGTTTCTACTATTTATGGTTAAGAGTTAGTTGGCTTGCTAAATGCACCAAAATGCCTCAGCCACACCCATTTCACAAGATGACATGAACTGCAAACGTCTGGGGTTTAGAGTTTTAAGCAAAGGACCAGTTACTCTTTCAGTCCGAAATGGAGCGACTTTAAGTGTAAATGACCATGGCTCCTCCACAGTGACGTGCAGTTTCGAATGTTCTGCTTATTCATGTCCATATCTGCGATTTTAAATATCCTTTGTTCCAAATGTTCCTTGACTTTACTGCACAAATTTGGACAAAATTTTTTTAAGTCTGTCAAACCATATGGCTAAAAAGTGAGTTTTTCTTGTCCTAAATTTAGTTGTTGGATATGAATGGGTAAACATTGCCAGGGGAGTCACACTGAGCCCCCACAGTCATGCTGGAGTCCTGTCAGAATTTTCGCCGCAGCAAGACGGGGCGAGTACTTCAGGGGCTGAGAGAGCATGGGGCTGTTTGGATAACTGCAGCGGAGGAGAAGGCCACGCTCCACTATCTGCTCCCTAAAGAACAATCCGTTAGTCCTCCCATGAAATGCTTTGTTTCACAAGTAATCAGGAAAATAGGAGTAGGAGATGAAGGAAGTGTGATAGCGTCCTCTTTACTATAATCTCAACGAATCTATGTGAAAGCACTAAATATCGAGGTACTGTTTGCATTCATGTTGTGCGTAGAAGCACAGAGAGATGGTTAGAGGTTTCGTGTGCGTGATGTCAGGCAGTCAACCTGTCAGTTTTCATCCAAAATGGTTGCATGTTTTTACAGGAGTATAAAAGCATCACTGCTGAGATAACGACTATAAGCAAAAATAAGCCGTGATTCGGTGATTTATGTAGAAGTGTCAGCAACTGTAGATGTTGGATCAGATTGAATAAACAGATTTAAGCAACTGTTTTGCAGTTTTCTAAATTTGTTCCTGAAAATAATGGGAGCAGTAAATGAAAAGTTTTTTATTGCATCCCTAAATTGCAGGCATGTGCTGCGTGGGAGGTTGGAGCTCAGAATTATGACATTTTTGACCTCCACGTTTGAGCTACGAAGTGGGGAAAAGACACAGATGCCTCGGTGAAAGCGAGTATTGTTAGCAACAAGCTAGTCAGCTCATTTTAGTGATATGAGTGATAACTTTGTTTATGATGTATTTACCTTCTCAAAACAGTGAGCTCTGTGCTCAGTATTACAGATGTAACCAGCCACTGTTTCTATGTTGAGTGGTCTAAAGCAAATCTCTTTTAAAGTGAGAGAAGTGGTTCTTTATTACTATTGACTCTGCAAGCAAACATGTTGATTTGATTACATACACTGAACTCTGAGTTGAGAACACTATGCTGAGTAGGGATTCCTAGCTGAGGGGGCATTTTCATTGTTTCTCCTAGTTGGAATTTTGAGTTATGACAATGTGTGGTTACAAACTCTGCAGGAATGCAGCAATATTATTAAGATATTAGTTTTCGGTAATTAATGTGACTCTAGGGTGTGTGCTGTGAGTCATAAGAGTGACAAGTTCAAGTGTGGCCCACATTTGAACCCTTAGAGTGTAAGTGGTCATTTTTGTTGTTTTTGTGCAGGTGAGCAGCAGTACCCGGCTCCGCCTCCTATCTACGGTTGCCACACCCCCACAGACGGACAGACTCTGCTTTTGCGAAACGCCTACAACAGGTACAGCAGTGTTTCTTTTCTGGGAAGAGGTGTGTCCAGAACAGTTGTAGGGGCAGGGGAGGAAGGAAGCAAGTGGTTCATAGAACCTGCACGTGGTGTGGAGTAGTATATTGTAGAAAAACTTACAAAATCAGTATTTCTCCCAGTGGTAGTGATAGTAACCAGATGTTAAAGCATTTTATTCCTTTAAAAGTTGCCTCGCATAAAGGTTTTTTTTGAATAAAACAGTTACAAAAACACTGCCTATTGCCCTTGATATTGTTTTATGTAGGTTTTTTTTGGATTTTTTGGATTTTTTCCCTAATTTTCTCCCCAATTTAGTCATTTCCAATACCACCCACTAGTTAGGACTCCCTCAATCACACGATACCACCAGCGCTAGGAGGGTGAAGGCAAGCACAGGCTTCCTCCGAGACATGTGAAGCGCCACCGCATCATTTCAAACTGCCGCTAACGGAACATTATTGGACAGCTGAATGCGCTTGGAGGAAAGCGCCAGCCGGCAGATCTGTTACGTCAGCTAACAGACGCCTGCACTGACTTGTATCCCATTTGAGTGATGGGGGGAGAGGGAGGGCCATCCTACCCACCCAGAGAGAGCGAGGCCAATTGTGCTGTCTTGGACTCCCGGCCACGGACGACTGTAGCATCACCAGGGATCGAACTCGCAATCTCCTGATGATGGGGCCAACGCTGAGATGGTTGTGCCACTCGGGAGCCCTTTTTTATGTGGTTTTGAGACAAATTTTTGGCCTAAAGTGTTTGTTCAAAATACGTTTATGGCGGAGAGGATTAACCACCATCAACAACATTATACAGAAAAACTTAGAAGTCACATGTAGGTTCATGTCGGCATGTTTCGCTGCAATGCGCCATTTCACGTCAAACCATTTGAACGAATTTGTTTAAATCTTAATGATTCAATTATGTAGCAATTTTGAAAAATTGGTGAAATTCTCCTTTAATCTGATTATTGGTTTACTAATTGTTATTTAAATTCACAGTGTGGTTTAGTGATTCTTTTGGTGACCGCTTTGCTTCTCTGTGTTTGAAAATGACATGCATAGTCTTAAACCTTTATTGACCGGCGCAGTTAAAGAACTAACAACATAAACACAGATCAAGAGTCGGCTTGTGACGGCCAGTCTAGTTTCTGTGTGGCTCATAGAAATCCAGCATAAAGTCTGCGGGGAGCCATGCTGTCTGTGCAAAGGTTAAGAGCAGCACAGCAGCCCTAAGCAGGCCAAAATACACTCAGCATGATCTACAGTCCGTTTCCTCCCAATTCCTCTTCCCTGCTTGGCCTTCCCCAGAGACGAGGAAAAGAGTTTCGGAGAAAGAAAGAAGGAGAGGACAGAAGTGGAGGCCTACGGAGGGAGATTACAGGGATTAGATGAGAGTAGGAAAGTCAGAACAAGAAGGAAAGAGGGCAGGTTAGTATGGTAGGGTAAAAAAACAGATGATGTTGGGAGGTCAGCGTGACTCTTAAAGAGAAGAAGAAAACGGAAAGTTACAGAAAGGACAGGCTGGAAAAGTAGTAAACAGAACGTCAAGCCAGTTGGCATTTTTCATCATTAGTAGTGCAGCAATGAGACTGCATTCCTCGAATAGTGTTCTCATGCTGTTTGGCGAAAGGGGAGATCATGGAGAACCCAAAATAAAGGAACTTGGGTTGATAAGGGTGGATGACGCCTCCTCACCATGTCCCCCTCCTCACCACACACACACTCATACAGCCTGTTACTGCACTTTGTTCAGCCAGTGGCCCACAGAGCTGCACTCCACTGCGATAAAGTCACGTTCCAAATGAGCTAAAAGGGAGATTCCAGCTCATTTTCATCCACATGTTAACCTTGAGCGTACTCAGTGATTAGGAAGCATGTGCTCTCCTGGGAAAAATGTCTACTGACTTTCAAAATACCAGCGTAATGGAAATGCACTTACTCCCTACTCATGAAATTCTTTGAAGATAAAAAATTACAGAGAAACATTAACAGTTCATGCATAGTCCTTTGTGAACTACTGCTAATTTGACTCTTCTGGTTGGGGAATATTCATCATTTCTTACTCCATGTGTGGATTTGCCTGTTAGGTTATTGTAGGAAATGTTGCTAAAAAATCAGTTTAACCCAGTTTTTCTTTTACCCATGTTCCCAATGTAGTCGATCAGGCAAGACCTGTTGGAGGTCTGAAGTTTGCTTTTTGAAGCACAACAAGGTTAATGTAGCTAACAAGTAATGGACGCGTATACCCAGTCAATGAAGTGCTATAACCTGTTCAGATCACTCCGCTCAGCAGAGCCGGTTACTGAAAAGTCCTTTGATCACTTACATCTCCTAAAGTGTGGAATAGCATTCCAGAGAATTTTAGGACTACAAGCTTAATAGATATATTTAAATTCAAAGATAAAAACATATACTGAATGGATATACTGGATGTACGGGGTTCTGTTTTTCTCTTATTGTTTGCAATTAGACTTTTGTTTAAGACCATAGTGTTTTATTTTTGCAGTGTTTTGTTTACACTTGGAAAATTTTTAACTAATATAAAACATTTCTATTTAAATACAAATTGTATTATTATTGTTATTATTATTATTATTATTATTATTATGATGTAAATGGGGAAGTGGTGTGTCCAGAACAGTTGTAGGGGCAGGGGTGACAGGAAGCAAGTGGTTCACAGAACCTGCACGATTACATCGTTATGATGTAAACATCAGTCATTCAGAGCGGTTTGGTGTGGAGTAGTATATTGTAGAAAAACCTACAAAATCAGAATTTCTCCCAGTGGCAGAGATATAAACCAGATGTTAAAGCATTTTATTCCTTTAAAAGCTGCCTTGCAGAAAGGTTATTAATGAAACGGTTACAAATACACTGCCTTTCGCCTTTAAAATCGTTTTACATAGTTTTGAGATAACAGTTCAGCCTAAGGTGTATTTTCAAAACACATTCATGAAGGAGAGGATCTACCACTTTTTTTAACCATCACCAACATTAGGCATAAAAACACAGAAGTTACGTCGAACCATTTGAACCACTTTGTTTAAATCTTAATGATTTAATTATACAGCAATTTTGAAAAATTGGTGAAATTCCCCTTTAATGTAATTATTTGTTTACTGATTGTCAATTAAATTAAAACCACTATGTTGTTTAGTGATTCTTTTGGTGACCGCTTCGCTTCTCTTTGAAAATGACACGCATAGTCTTCCCTGGAATGAAAATTCTCTGGAATTATTATTATTATTATTATGTAAATGAACAACAGTGTGTCACATAGAGCATTAGCACTTCACCTGTATCTAAGGGTAAGAGGAAAAACTGTAAAATTGCAGTCTGATGATTTAATGCCATATGACGCTGTTTTAAAGCATCTGTTCTTGGGCTCCTCTAGAACTCAGATAGAGATATGAGGGCGTAAGAGCTCCAGAGCTACAAAAGGGAAATGAGTCAACAAAATATCTGCCCATTTAGCAATCAGCTGGGGACTTGTGTGGCATTTGAAAGCACAGTACTCACTGTTTCACGTTTGTGCAGCCTGGCTTATTAGCAAGTTCAGCACAGATTAAGCACTTCACACTCAGTATTTATACACTGTCTTCCCCTCCACCCCTCGCTGTGTTGTGATATCACAGGATTACAGCACTGTACCAGGCACTATGGAGCTCCACAGCTATAGAGCTCCTGGGCCTCGCTGAGGTGCCTCACTGTTTCATAATGACTCTTTTGTGGTCAGTAATCGTTTAGCAGAATAGAAACAAACACCAACTTCAGCTTTTTTGTTGCTAAACTTCTGGCTGACATTTTAAAGCTGCTGGATGACTCACAGTCCCATTTGCTGGCACTCAGTACTCTAACTGAGGAAACCAAATATGTTGTCAGTGCAGTTTAGTAGCTGATAAAAATAGTCATGACTGAAATGTAGAGACTGAACAACATCCCTTCCACTTATACTGGTGCAATTTGGCTGATGCCAAGTTTTTAATCTTGTTTTTAATATGATTTTAAAGGTTCAGGAATGACTCTGTATGTTGTTTGAAATTCTTTTTATATATATTTTCTATCTGCAGTTGTCTGATTGTGTTCTTGAACGTCTTGAAAGGCGTTTATAAATAAAATACTATTATGAATGTCACAAAGTATTACAGGGATTAGTTCATAATGTTCTTTTTCTCCTCCTTTCTTCCTCCTTCACTTGAAGCACTGCTGTTACTTTCCCCCCTGCTGTCTCTTTCTCTTACGCAGTGTTTTTGTTTTCTCTTCTCCTCTGGCAGTGATAATTTGTACCAAATGACATCCCAGTTGGAATGTGTGACCTGGAACCCAGTCAACTCTCTGGCCTCCACCATCAAGAGGTATGAATCAGTCCGGGTGAGGCTTAAGAAGTGGTCATTTTCTCCACAGTCCATCCAGTAAAGCTCCATGTAAAGGTTTTCTTTAGTGCTGTTGTTTCGTTGTGCTTCTTTTTTTAATCCGTCATCTCTGTCTGTTTGGATTATAGAAACATACAACCTTTTAAATGTCCAAAACGTATACAATGTAGATTTAAATATGTATATAATCTCTCAAATTAGACACTGAAAGGCATTTTTAGAACTTTTATTCAATATTTCAAGCATTTAGGGAACAAGAGGATTACTGTTACTGATTACTTATAAGTTACTGTATGAAAAATAATATACTGCAATTATTATATTATTAACTCATTACAATATTATTGTCAGTTGCAAGAGACAACCTGGATATTAATATTATTAAATGGTAATTATTTATGTTAGACAACTTTCTCATTTTAAAATCCTCTACAAATCACTTCACCAATCTGGACACATCAAAAATTTCTACTTCTGCTTCTACTTCTGCTTCTACATCTTATTAGCTTCCCACAAATCATTCGAAATCTGTTAAGACACAGACAAACATATCAGAAAGATTTTCTGCATTTACGTACAAACAAATTAATGTTATTAAATATAACGATTCCAAACTTTTAAATGAAAGTGTACATGCAGGCACTGTCCACTCAGGATGTAATGATCTGACCTGGCTTGAAAGGGGTTATTCTGTGGTGGCTGACGGAGTGCTACAGATAGCCTCTTGTCTGGGTTATCTTCAAAGAACCGTCCTCAGTTTCACATCAACACACAGCTGCACAGGAGTGTTAGAAAGGGCAGTGATAAAATGATCATCAAAAAAGGCCTCGTTACTTCCGTATCTCAGAAGCAGCAAAAGTCAACGGCAGATCAGTCTGAGACCTGACCTCTTAAACTCCAGGAGTCAGTATGTGGGTTTACACTTCAATCCCTCACTCTTATATCAGTATCATATTACTTTTGACATAGACTAAGTTGTGGTGGACTACTATAGTGAAGAGACATGGGCCGAACCCAGTTACCGTGCAAATACAAATAACCAGTTTTGTGAGAGGAGAAGTTTCCTGTCCTCTGTCTGAGAGTGGAGAGATGCGTTTTTCATCTGTTTGGTCCACTGCAGTTGGGGATGCTTCCTGTAACATGTTCCCTTTATAGAGCACTGGCCTTGACCGTAGAAAAACAGAGCGACACAGGGTAATAAGACAGAACAATTTACACTCTCGAAAATAAAGGTACTAAACTGTCACTGGGGCAGTTCTCCTCTTGTCATTGGGATGGAACCGTCAAGGGTACTTCTCAGTACCTTTAGTCAGGGAACATAACTGAACCATAATCCATTGAAATTATGTTTTCTAAGCTGTGTTGACTCCACACCCCCTCGTCTCATCTTATTTTACTGTTCTGTTTTGAAACTTTAGGTTATGAAAAGGTACAAATACGAACTTTTCACCTGGAAAAACTTATTTAAGGTGCACAATTGGACCTTAAAACCACTGTTGTACCTTTGAGGTACACTTACATTGTTTATAACTTGATGAATGAGAAATGTACCTGCACAGCACCTTTATTTCTAACAGTGTACTGGATGTATTTACTTAAAATTATGGTTAATTACAAAACATAATTGTTATCTGTTATTTGTTGTGAGCTTGTTACAGCTTGTTGTTTCGGCCAGATGCTTAAAAATAACGATTAAGACAGCATACATACCATTTTAGTTTAAATTTTGGTGCACACAGTGGATATGTATTAATTTTTAGGCATGTTATGATCAACAAGAAGAGAAAATAATCAGCTCACTTTAAATTGCATTTGTTTAAATGTGATTTTCTACATATTGTTGGCTTTAACTGAAGACAGAATTGGCTCTGGCTCAAATCAACAAACAGACACAGCCCTTTGATGATGTTCTTGCCCCTATTAGAGGTTCTGTTAGTTGTTTAAGTACGATCCATGACGTATCTCAATAAATACATTTTCTTTCGCTATTAATGTTTATGCCTTATACTGGGGAGGGGTGGGTGAAATCCTGCCCCCCTCACCCTTAAATTACAACAGAGAAACAGAAAGAGCCACAGAGGGAATCTGTCCGCAGAAGTACGTGTGTGCGTGTGTGTGTGTGTGTGTGTGTGTGTGTGTGTGTGTAGTGGAAGCCATGAGATGTGGATCAAAGCACATCAAGCTCAAAGCTAGATCAAGCTCTGACAGGGATCTTTTAGGTCATGGATTCTTGTAGATTCTCTGGGTACTTCTGTGGCTTCCACTGTTTGCACAAATCTAAACGTGATAGACGAATAGATAAAAACTGTAGAAAGAAACTTTATTAATTCTGATGCAAATTGCAGGAGAAATAAATCAGCAAAAAAACCCCATAAATGTACACATATACATACAACTTTAGACATTTACAGAATTTAGAGGACTTAGAGTAGATTTTAACAACACAGGGTGAGTTTACTCTTCAGTGCTTGAATGATATTTGAAGAGTTTCATTCCAAAATGCTGTATACCTGTTTGTAACAAAAAGTATGTCTGCATTTATATTTGTCTAACAAAGCTGGGATCACTAATAATATAGCATTGATATTTATTTTATGTGTGAAGCCCACCGCCAACAATGAAGAAAAAGAAAAAGATAACTCATCAAAGAATCGTAGCGGTGCTGGCAGATATGTCCTTAAAAACATTTTTGGCATTGGACAGATGTTTAGGTTTGACCAATATTTTAAATGTTTGATGGCGTGTTTAGGGTACTCCAGAAAAGCGAGACATTTAGTTGATGCTGGAGTACATCCCCTTAAATATCTATTTTTTGTTCATATTACTGCTTTTATAATCTACATATTATAGATGTTTAAATATCTGCATCCATATCAGCACATACAGCACTGTGCAAAAGTTTTAGGCACATAAACATGTTGCTTAAAACCATTTACATTGGCGGTTAGAGTGTTTTCGCTTGTAAAAACACAAAGTCATTAGAATAAATGCAAATAAACATTAATACAGTAACAACAAATTTCTACTTTTGAAAGAAAGTAGTGGATATCCTGTTTGGTTTGCTTCCAGATATCTGCTGGATGTCCCCAGCCATCACATGAATTTGTTAAAGTCCATCAGCAGCACACTTGATTTAACATTGGTTTAAGATTGATTAGCCAGATTAGGTTTTGGATGATTACAGGTTATACTGGGCAGCCATGCGGAGAGGTTCAAAAATGGTTTATTAAAAACATGCCATGCATAAAATCACTAAATATTGTAATCATATTATTTTTACAGGGTGATTTAAAAAGATTCATCTGATTTCAAAATGATTTATTTCTCTTGTAAATCGTTACAGAACAATGCAGTAAACTGTAAATGGTTTAAATGAGCATAAAGTTTATTATGTAATTTTTACACATGCTCAGTATGAACCTCCTCCAGCTGTACGGACAGCATCAACACCATAGTCAAATTCATCCCATACTGCATTGAGCATGTCGGGTGTCGCTGTACTCACGGCTCTTTCAGTGCGATTTCGGAGATCATCCAGTGTTGTGGAACCAACTACGAACGCTCTGAGCTGTTGGAGCTTCACTGCCCACGAAAATCACTCTGCACAGTTATGACGGATTCACTCTTATTGAAGTGGAGAACGCAGAACGCTTTCTGCTCAGGGGTCTCATCTCCCCACAGACTGAAGGAGGCCATCTTCCACTGACCGTCAGAAACTCCATGATCCCCTCTTTCAATTGGTATGTGATTGGTTCCTTGGCGCCTCACGGTTGTAAAAATATGGCGCTTTGAAATCGGATGAATCTTTTTGAATCCTGTATTTATTATATTCTTAGTGTTTTTCTGTGTTAATGAACTCTTACTGACCAGAAAAAAAGATTTTCAAATCTCATTGTATCAGGTGCCTAAATCTTGTGCCCTTTACTGTATGTACTGGAAAAATATCAGGTATCAGCACTGGCCCACAATTCCCATTTCGATGCATCCCCTAACAGATGAAGATAGTCACTCTAACTTACACTGTGGTGAAACGAACAGGGAGTAGGGGTGGAATTTTTGCTCAGTCATGCAGTTCAGTTTAGATAAAGTATCTAATTCTGGGTGTGGTGGAATGCACAGTGTGTGTATCAGAAGGAGAGAAGGCTGAGTTGGCTGATGAGCAGGGTGGATTGTGGGGTGTGGCTGTAGCAGTGTGAGAAAGAGGTGAGTGTGTGTGTGTGTGTGTGTTTCATTGCTGTGAAACGTGGCGTTGGGTGGGCGGTGTGGGATGGAAGACAGAATATTTATGCCAGTCCTGATAATCGCCATGGTTATAGCCTCTTCACCCCCGTTGCCATGAGCACGTGGTGTTTGTGTGCTGGCTGTGAGGACGGATGGATGGAGTGAGGGATGAGCGCTCCAGAGCTGTCTGATTGCACAGTCTGAGATGTTAAGCTAACAGGACAAAAGAGGCTTTATGGAGCCTTAACAGTTCATCAGGTGCTGCCCACACATCCACACTGACCCTGACCTTCAGCTTTCCCCACTGCCTCCCCATTCACACGCTCAGTGGTCTAAGTGCTACAGATGGATCCAGGCATTACCCAAGGGGACTGGCAATGGATTATGAGCTCAGTTACAGCAGTCAGTTCATTTTCAGAAAACGTCTCTGTTTTACATGATGTGCGCAATAAGAGACACTGTTAGAAATAAAGATTCTGTTCAGGTACAGCTGTGTTTTTAAGGTCCAGTTGTGCACATTAAATAAGTTTTTCCAGGTGAAAAGTAAATGTTTGTACATTTTCATAACCGAATGTTTTAAAACAGAACAATAAAATAAAAGCCTGGAGACGAGACGGGGTGTGGAGTCAGTACAGCTTAGAACATATCATTTCAATGGATTATGGTACAGTTGTGTTTCCTGACTCAAGGTATTGAGATGTACTATTGAGGGTCCCACCCCAGTGACAGTCTCATACCTTTTTTCTGAGAGTGTTGGTGACTGCTTTTAACCCCTTATTCGGTAATTTGGTAATCGGTCATATGCTACATGAAGCACCATTATTTTTGAGAGTGTGGTTTGAAAAATCTAATTTAATTTTCCTCAAATTTTATCCAACAGCCAAGACATTTCTTTAATTTTCCACTGCAGCTACAAGATCGGAGGCTTATGTACACCGGTTAGCTTTCTGTATAAGCTTCCATTACTTGTTAGCTACATCAGCCTTGTAGCTTCAGTGCAAAGTTAAAGAAGCAACTTCAGACAAAAAACATGTCTTGGCTAATGGACATTTGGACTACATTTGGGGCAAGGGGGACACTAAACTAATTGCTGAGCTACTTCTTTATGAGCACATTCAGCACAGAGTGATCTGAAGGGTAATGGTCAGACTCATGAGGTCTCATGTGGCGGTTTTTGAGAGTAAAGGGTTCAGAGTGACCCTGTGGAGTTAACAGACCCCTTCTCTCTGTTTTCTCTGTTGACGTTATCCAGTCCCAGCACGGGGTTTGAGAGCGAACCTTCTCCGGCCGCTGCGCCCGTAGTCTACAGCTGCAGTGCCCAGTACCACATACATACACACGGCATGTTCAGAGGAATTCAGGTGGGTGCCTGCAAACCACACACACACAAATAAGCATGTGTTTAGTAAGAAAGTAAGTATGTACATGTAAGAGTAATTTAGTTCTGATGACACAGTCTGATCGGTTGAAAAGCATCTACCCTTGTTGTTATTTGTGGTAACAGCATCGTTTTTTCACGATAAACTGTATAATTCTGCTGAGCACCACGTAATGACTTGCTCTTCACTGCAGCTAACCATTAAAGTTTCTACTTTATTGCATATAAAAAAACAGAAAATTGACACATTAGATGAATCTGTAAGATAATACTTGTCCCCCAGGCCATTTGGTCAGATTATCAAGAAGAGTCTTGACAGCAGGCCAAGCTGTGATGGCAGAACAACTGAACAAGCTAAAATTAGCCAGAAACAAACAGAACACAATTCAGTAAACAAGCTGCTTTACAGACTGACTGGAACAAAATGGTTTTCAGGTTAATCTGGCAAATATTAAAAAAGCTGAGCTGAACCTGATATTGCAACATTTTCATAGCTTTATTCGTAACTTAAAAGGCTGGTCCTTTTTTGGCTGAATTAATTGCCATTGTTAAAGCACATTTGGTACAATGTATGCTTCTTTCCTTTTTTCTTTATTTTGCAGAGGAGGAGAACACTCAAGGTTGTGTATTATTTTAAATAAAATCACAGCAGTGCTGATTTTCTACAACTACACACAGAGCAAAATGAAATACTGACCCTTGTTACTAAAACTCAAAGAAAAATGCTGTATGAGAAGCTCGGCTCTAGCTTTATATACCACACCTGAAGTACGAATCCTTGATGTGATCTTAGACTCTGTGCTTGTTTTGTCCTGCATGTAAATACAGTCACTAAAGTAGCTTTTTATCATTTGAGAATATTGCAATTGCTTTTCTCTCTCAGAGCGACGCAGAGAAACATGTTCATGCATTTGTTACAAGCAGAGTTGATCACTGTAATGATCTTCTTACTGGACTTCCTAAGAAAACAATACATCCTTAATAACAACATGCATCAGCACACATCCTAACAAAAAAACAAAACCGAGACATCACGTCAATCCCATTTTAAAAGAACTGCACTGGCTGCTTGTATCTTTTAGGATAGATTTTAAAGCTCCAAATGACCTTAAGGCTCCGCTTGCCTCAAAGAATGGCTGTCTGTTTATGCTCCAGCAGGTGATCTTAGATCTGCAGATACTGGCCTTCTACAGATACCTTCCGTAAAATAAAGAAAATGTGTAGAGGCATCTTTCTGTTATTATGCTTTTTAATTTTTTTTATTTGATCTGTGTTTTTGACTCATAAGATTTTAAATGAATACTCGGTTTCCTCTGTTACTGTTTAGCTTTACCACCTGCCTGCCCGAATCACAGCCACGTTATTCAAGGAAGTATAATCTATATATTTATTAGGTATCAATATGTAATACGTCCTATGTGTTATATAAACTTAAGTACTTAAATATGAATATAATTTTTTGACGATTTTTATTTTTCTACATAATTTCAACACACCAGCTGTTCTTTACATTGTGTGAAAATCTCATAATGAATGGACCAATAGAAATGCTCTAAAATCACTTCGAATAAAATTTCTTTACATTAATTTACATTGAAAGGTAAGAGTGTTTTTGCCTTCTCCTGTAAAGTTACTATTTTGGAGACACTTGTTTTATGCGAGTATCTATGGGTATGTATTTTGTTGGTGCTGTAGATTATTGGTGCTGTTTTTCTCAGGTTTTACTAAAAAGGACAGTTTAGACATAAAAAGGCACAAAAACAAACATGCTATCATCATGTCCAGGTTCAGCTAAAGGTCACTAACTCCCCTCCCACCCAGAGAGCCTGCCAAATATTGTTGAAGCCAAGGCCAGCAAGCTCTTCTGAAGCGTGTAACTGAGAGCAGCAGCAGCTAGTGTTTGACTGGTCAAGCCTGACTAGTACTACATCACCGCCTGGCCCAATCCTGCCGGAGAGAAAAGCATTAGCTGGATACAAACACGGCGGTTATTAAAGGTCGCGGCCTGCCAGAGCAGTGGAGGTGTGCTGAACAGCCTCTGTCACAGACAGCAGAGATATTGCCTGTCCCTGACTCCATTAGCCATACAGATTGGGTTTCCATACACCGCCTCAGTCCCTGCTGATAAATCATTAAGACTTAATGAACATCTTTCAGCGTCTGAAAAAACAAAGATCCCCCTGAGAACCAATGTGTGCATTTCCACCACTTTCTATCTTTCTTCTCTGCTCTGCTCTCCTCTCGGGGCTTTTAAAAGCTGAGCTGACGTTTAACAGGCTTCGGGCTTTGAGTGTTAGGATGAACGAAGAATTGACAAACACAAAGGATGTTAATAAAAAGTCATTTTAGTAGTTAAAAGAAATCTACAACGTACAATTCCAGTCAAAAGTTTAGGCCCAGCTGATGTGTGTTTTTCATAATCCTGAAGACATTTTGATCTAAATGTTAGTGATTAAATGTTTTTAAGACATTTAATCAATTCCAATTCCGATATAACATTCTCCCAAACGTGTAGTTTTACTTAGCCAGTGTGATGTGAGCACACGTGGACCTTCTTCAAGCCTGTTGGAAACGCATCCAAATGGAAAGTACGAGGGAAATCCAACATTCCTTTTAGAGCATTATTTAGGAAGAAGCGGTCAATCACAGCTAACATCATTTAAAAGGCCTGTCACTATCCCTGTCTTTGAACAAGACACGGGCAGTTTTGCTTGATTCAATTCATGAATTTGGCTAATGCTGTTTGAAAAACCAGAAACAAGCCAGTAGAAACAGTTCAAAAAAGGCGGCCCCAGATTAAAATCTTCATGAATAAAATGTAAAGCTTACAGAGCTGTTCCTCAACTAAAATCGAGTCCGGTCTGTCTGGGTGAGGGTGAGTCTCTCTCTTATTCAGCACAGTTAGCTTTATTGATCATATTAATGTAATCAGATCTTCCAACACACTGCTTTCTAGACTTGCACTGCTCATATTCACGGTCGAAGTCACAGTCAGCTTTCGCAGGTAGCACACTGGAAAGGGACAGACACAGATTATCTACATAGAGATCATTTTTGTTTGAAATTAATTTAGTTCTGTTAGATCAGGAATCAGACAAAGCACTTTTTGTAAGTCGCTCTAGATAAGAGCGTCTGCTAAATGCTGTAAATGTAAATGTAAATAAATCTGCAATATGCGGTTCTGGAGCCACATGTGGTTCTTTTACTGCCCTGTTGTGGCTCCACAGCAGAATTAGATTTCCAGGTAAAAATAAAATAATCCTCCTTTACAGTAAAATAAAGCTCTGCTGATCGTTCAACACAGTTTAACACTAAATGGTCTTAAACTCTGGAGTGAATGTAGAACTGCTAATTCACCCTTTAACCCTGAAGGGTTGGCGTGCAGACTGCTGGTCACCATAGCAACGCAGACAACAATCTTGCCTAGCGAGTAGCTAATGAAAAGGCAAAGAGAAAGATTTAAGATGAACATCGATCATGAGATGAATGGACTTATTTGTGTTTATAAGCACTACAGCTGCTTTCCTGATATGTTTAATCTGCAACGAGAAATGGTCAAACACTAAAAAGTCAAGAAGATGAAGTCGGCTAGTCATTCAAATTTTTTCGTTCCACTTTTAACAGTGCAGCAGTTCCATCCTGGCGCCTCCGGCACCATTTAAAGTGGAATGGGAAAATTCAAACAAGAAGCTGGTGAATGAGAAGCGACTTCAGCCTCATAAAAAGTCGAACATTAAGAGACGTTTTACAAGAAACTATTCTATTTTTGAGGAAAAGTTTCCTGCCGGAGATGCGAGAAAAGCAGCTATAGCTGAGCTAAAGCTTAAAGCAGAGCAAAGTAACTCTGCATTTTCATTTATATAATATTTTTCGCCTACACTAGGACATCAGCACATACTGAGACATATTTACATCCAAGTTTTAAAATGGACATAAAGTGTTGTGGCTCCCAAGGTGGATTGATTTTTGTTGAAAGGACAAAATGGATCTTCTTAACATTTGGGTTGCGACTCGTGTGTTAGAGACATGTGTAGCGCAAGTAACAACATGCATAGTAACACCTTAAAAACATTAATAGGCATTTAAAACACCTAAATAAAAAGGACAACGATTTCCCAAAAGTGCAAACAGGGCATTCATTCATACAGTTAAACCTCAGATTTTGATGTTCACTGATCTTACTTTGTCTTCATCATCATTAGCATTAAACCTGTCAGCTTCATCATATTCATATTCATCAGATATAACGGCTCTCTTTTACCCTTTTGTTAATGTGTTATAACTGCTTTTTAATGATTAATGGAGTGTTTATAACCTAACTAATAACCATAACAAACTATTTTAAACCGTTCATAAAAGTCTTATTTTTAAGTGGTACCAAAAAATTAACTGATCTCTCCCATACTGTGTCCTGCTCTCTAGGATGTTCGTCGAATGCCCAGCATCACTCCCTCTATAGTGCGGTCAGAGAGCAACGACAAGCGTCCGTTCATGTGTTCATACCCGGGCTGCAGCAAGAGATACTTCAAACTGTCCCACCTACAGATGCACGGGAGGAAACACACAGGTAACACACAGAGACACAAGCCTGCTTTCTCTCACCTTTCTTCCTCTGCTGTGTTTTTATGGGTGTACCTGCTGGTCCAGGCCGCTGGCACAAGCGGTAGCTATTTCTTTGGACATATTTATCCAAACAGTTCTTTGTTCTGTTGCAAAAGAAGCTGCCAGAGCTAAAATATTGCTTAGAAGAGAGATGAAGCTATTTTGAGGAATTCATCTGGCAGCACTGTTTCGCAACCGTGATGTTTATACAGATCAGACACGCACACACAGGGTCACTCAGGGGCCGAACACACTGTAGTAACCATGGTCTCTCACCCAATTACTTAGGGCCACTCCCAGCTTGCCTATCCACAAAAAGCAGCACTAAGCATTAATCAAAGCTGATTCGTTTGTTCAGTTGTAGAAAAAATAAATGGTTTTAGGCTCTTTTTCAGGGATCTTTTAAATCTGTATTGTGTTCCTGCGCTTTACTGTGCATACATACATGGAATTTCCCCGTTGTGGGACTAATAAAGGATTATCTTATCTTATACAGTACATCAATAAAAGGCCAACATCAAACACCTTGAGACCAAAGTTATAATCATAAATCACAAACTGGTTAAACCAAACAAATCACATTCAGCCTCACACTAGAAAAATGAAAAACACCTCCTGAGCAACTTCATTAACAAAACTTTGTTCATCCTTAATTGTCTTTGTTTTTCTTTTTGCAGACTTGCTAACTAATTACAATTATAGAATATAGAATAATTCTTAAAAGTGTAATGGTGTGGGATGGCCAGTATGTTGCATCGTGCCCTTACGCATGGTTATGTTAAGTGTTACATGAATCAGACGTGAATTATAGGAATGAATGTGAGGTACTTATAAATCCAGATTAAAACAATTTTTCAGGCTATGCATATTTATATTATATGCGTACTTTATTGGATCTCTTTGTACTTTGTATTCTATCATTTGTAATTGTGCTGCTGTTTGTTTATTTATTTACTTAAACTGAATTTGAACTGTAATGTTTTAGCTTTCCAGTTTTGCTGATCTTCATGTGTAAAACATTTTGTAAATAAAGTGAAAAGTGTTATGTAAATAAAATTAATACCATGATATTATGTAACAAATAGCTGCGTAAGGTCAGGTTTGAGTGAGAGAAATATCCTCCTCTGGGTGAAATATATATGTCGCTGCCGTCGGAACAAAATCACGTAATTTAATTTTGCTGTTTTTCAGTTTTTTAAAAATCTGAAAATGCCTGTGACCCTTTATATTGTATGTAAATTTCATGATGAAACGACTAAAAGAAACGTCCCAAAATTACTCTGAAAAAAGTCTGGTTCCATTGACTTGCATTAAAAGTAAAGCATGTTTTTTCCTTCTCCTGTACATACATACATACATACTGATCAGGCATAACATTATGACCACCTCCTTGTTTCTACGCTCATTGTCCATTTTATCAGCTCCACTTACTATAGGAGCACTTTGTAGTTCTACAGTTACAGACTGTAGTCCATCTGTTTCTCTGCATACTTTGTTAGCCCCCTTTTACCCTGTTCTTCAGTGGTCAGGACCCCCATGGACCCTCACAGAGCAGGTACTATTTGGGTGGTGGATCATTCTCAGCACTGCAGTAACACTGACTGGTGGTGTGTTAGTGTGTGTTGTGCTGGTCTGAGTGGATCAGTCACAGCAGTGCTGCTGGACTCCATGGGGGTCCTGACCACTGAAGAACAGGGTAAAAGGGGGCTAACAAAGTATGCAGAGAAACAGATGGACTACAGTATATATACATATATATATATACATATATATATATATATATATATATATATACATATATATATACATATATATATATATATATATATATATATATATTAATATATACATACATACATACATACATACACACGCACACACAATGTATATAAGCAGAACACTGGAAAATCTGAAACACTGTGCTTTATATGAAGTATTAAAGTTAATGGAATAATAGTACAAAAACACATGATAGAAAACACAGAGACTCAGTAAATCTCAACATGTGTCCTGGGTAAATATGTTTTAGTCTGGACTTAAAAACATCTGTGATATTCTGTCCCTCACCATCAGAGTTTTCTGCTATACATTTCACTAAACATGAAACAGCGCCCCCGTGTGGAATTTCTGTGCTGAACTCTCGCCTTCTTCTCTAAACTACTGAGCTACTGTGGATTAAACCTAGTCTTGGACTAAACTGCAGGGCTAATGGCAAGCCCCCATTGTAAACTGTTTCTAGGCTTCGGCTTAATCTGAGTCTGGGAAACTGGCCTTTTTGTGTAGTTAATCTCTGTGTTTCGTGCCTGTGCAGGAGAGAAGCCCTACCAGTGTGATTTCACAGACTGCGGCCGCAGGTTCTCCAGATCAGACCAGCTGAAGAGACATCAGCGCAGACACACAGGTCAGACTGAACTGCCTCATTTACGCTCACTTCTCTGTTCTCTTACCACCTTTATCTTCACTCTCACTCTGTGCTCTGTGATGCAGCCGTCCTGACTTAGTCCATTATTCCGACTAAGCAGGCCAGTGTTTCCCATCCCTCACTGTCTGTCTCTCGAGCTCTGTCCATATCCTCCCCTTTTTTCCTCCTGTAGGAGTGAAACCCTTTCAGTGTGAGACGTGTCAGAGAAAGTTTTCACGCTCAGACCACCTTAAGACCCACACCCGGACTCATACAGGTAAAACAAGTGCGTAAACCCATTTTTCTTTCACGCTTCTCCAATTTGAGTCCAGTTTCAATAGTTTGTTCATATAGTTTAATACAAATCATCACAGTCATATTAAAACCTTGTATTACAGTGTCTGAACAGACAATGATGACTGGATCAATAGAAACGGTCCATTACTTAGAATACAGCCTTTTACATTAAAGGGGAATTCTGCTGATTTGTCAAAACCTCTGCACAATTCAGTCGTTTAGGTGTAAATAAAGTTATTACACGGTTTGATGTGAAATGGAGTTTTTAACTATAATCTGATAACTGCAGAAAATCAGATTTGGTCAGTAATTTGTTTGTGTTTTCATACACCTGAGTAACCAGATAATGGGGAATCTCCAGGTCTACATGAGTCAGACAGTAACTGGATTTCTGCTTTGCAACCAGCCAATAAACTCACAGAAGTAGACGTGACAAACGTAACGGAAAAGTCAAATATAATTTCAAAAAAAAGAAAAAAAAACAATGACATTGAGTCACTTTAGCAGAAAATATGAATATTCTTCATCTTCTAGATGGTGTATATTCAAATTCTTCATTTCATAAAGCATGTATTTGGTTTCAGCATCACTCCAAAAGTGTTTAGTTGCATCTCGCGGGTGCTGTGTCAGACGCTGCTTGCAGTTTCCGGGACAGCGCTCTGTTTTTTGCACATACGCAGACTGAGAGAAACGAAAGGCGTCAGAGTGAGGGTTTACATACACTGAAACACCCCAATACTGAGCTAAAATCCAGCTCTATTTCTAGACCCAAGATAAAATCGGAGTACGCTGTTTACATCACCACTCGAATATTCGGATAACTGCCGAAATCTGATAATGATGTCTACAATGCAAATATAACCATTTTATTTACAGTCCAAAACTAAATCTATTCAAATTCCTGTGTGGTACCTATAAGTCACATGTAATACTGGTAACGGTAAAAGAGTGGTAAATCTAAAAACCAAGTTTTCTTCAAGGTTGCACCGATACTGAATCAGTATCAATGCTGATACTAGCACTTAAACACAGTATCGGTATATAGGTAATGATATCGTTACCTGTGGCCAATACCACGAAGCGATTTCTGATGCTCGTTTGCTGATGCATGTATGTAGCCAGTAGATGGAACTTGTTCGGCAGTTTGAGTTAACAAGCAGCAGTAAAAATGTTCATGACAAAATCGCCAGCATTTAATGGAAAGTCAGTATTAGTGGGTGAAATGCCATTAGAAATTCTACCCAAGGTATTCGTGTCACTGATAGTGTCCACCTCCATCGGTCAGCTTCACGCAGAAGCAGGGTCTCACAGCCTTTTGCTTCAACCAAATCTGTGGCTCAGCTGCTTGTATGCCATTCATTCAAGCTTGGTATGTTTTATTAGTGACACAGAACACAGCTTTTACCAAAATAAAATATTTAAAAAGTGGAACTGTATAAATATCAGGACTTATAAGCTAGTTAGGTTATACAGAGTTAGTATTGGTGCATCACTCTCAGCTCCGGATACGATGTTACATAGCGGTTGAGAGGCTACGTAGCTATCGGAACTTCTGTAATATTACATGAAGGGCACGGAAGGTAGTGCGTAAAGTTTTAGGAAACCCTCAGATACTACGGCTGAATCACAAATGGCTTCCTGTTCCCACAGTGCACGGCGTAGGATTAGGAAACTATGGCTTCTGTGTACAAATAGTGCTCCGAGTGTTAGATAAGGAGTCGTGTAGCATAAGGCTAAAAAAATAGCTTTCTGTTTGACATATAATGCAGTATTTGGGTGTAGAAGCCATTATTTTCTGACCAACATAGTGCACTACATAGGCAATAGAGAGCAATTTGAAATCTAGCCTGTGAGATCATGAAACAAAACACAAAGTCTGCAACTTTTTGCTGAGCATTAGCTGGAATACAGAGAGTTGAGGTGCGCAAACATTTATATTTACGGCCTTTCGCAGACGCTCTTATCCAGAGCAACTTACAATTTGATCATTTTACACAGGTAGGTGAAGGTAGTATTAGGAGTCTTGCCCAAGGACTCTTATTGGGTATAGTGTAGGGTTCTTACCCAGGCAGGGATTGAACCCCAGTCTACAGCGTAGAAGCCAGAGGTGTTACCCACTACACTACACCAAGCACACAAGCAGCTAATCAGTAATGATTCACACCAGTGCACGCGTGACGACAGTGTGCAGTACCAAAATATTCTTTGGTACTGAAAGAACAAAAAATGTTAATATAAATACATTTCTATAAATACAGTTTCTCTGCTAAAAATTATTTCTCTCATCTTATAAGAGTAGCGTACTAGATAATCAGGGAGCTGAAAGGGCACGTCTGAATGTGGGGGCGTCTAAACTTGTGGTGCTACGGCTCTGCAGATGGATGCCACTGGCTTTCTTTGGGTATTTTCCCTTTAACACCCTGTAGCTCTCTCTCTCTCTCTCTCCGCCATGAATCGATTCTAAAAATACTTCCTTTTTGCAGAAATTGGGAAGTTGGTGGAATTCCTTTTTAACGTACATTTGCTCCTTCATTAGTTACCATGATAGAAATGCAAGGTTTTGTTATGACAGTGATAAAATACTTAATTATGATGAGCAGTTTTGAAACAGGATTTCTGAGTCTTAACACTTCTTTAATTCTCTTTTTCTTTCTCAGGTGAGAAGCCGTTTACCTGCCGCTGGCCGAGCTGTCAGAAGAAGTTCGCCCGTTCAGATGAGCTGGTCAGACACCACAGCATGCATCAGAGAAATGTTACTAAACTGCAGTCAACTTTCTGAACACATTAAGCAATCGTTCTGGAGTGGAGAATCATTCTGAATATGACGACAGCGGTGCTCATGAGTGAACACCCTAAGATTACAATTGTTAAATAACCTTGGAATATATGACACACACACACACACACACACACACACCACCAGAACAAACACACAAAAAAAACAAAAAGCACAAAACAATGAACCAGAAGGACTAATTCATGTATTTCAGGTCATCTCGTGTTGTAAATAACATCTACGCGCCTAATCTTCTCTCTCTTTGTACTGGCTATATCTGTAGTACATGACATCTGTGTCTAAGATGTGCTGGTTCACTTAAATCTTGTAAATATTTGATTTTTTTTATTATTATTTTATACAACATATATCTAACAAAGCTTCCAAAGATTTATTTTTGGAAAAAAATAAGTGCACTGTTTTATTTGTTTGTACATACTGTATGTTAATCTCTGACATATCATGGACTTTACTATCCGTGTTTGTATTAAAATGATTCATTTAAAATCAAGCACCTCCAAATTACTTAATGCCTTTTCTAAAACAGCCACACAAATAAAATGTGATTGATGTGAAAATGTGAAAATGGACTATAACACAGGAAAGTGCAATTCACAAAATGCTCAGTAGAGGCCAGTACAGCGCTGACAGATTTAACCATTTTAAGGGCCTGGAACAAAACTGGACACTGAGCAGCACGAAAGGCCAGAAGTGTCAAACCGAGTTCCTTCCAGGCCACCGCACTGCAGAGTTTAGCGTTCCTCCTTATTAAACGCACCTGATTCATTTCTTTAGCTAATTAGCAACATAATAATCATCCTTTGCAGTAAAATAACGCTTTGGAGTAAAACAAAGCTTTGCTGAGGGCCCCAACACAAAGTTCTAACACAGTTTTAACAATAAATGGTCTTAAATGCTGGAATAATGTATAACTATATAATAAATACCAAATTAGAACTGGTTCCCCTTTTGAGTCTTGGTTCCTCTCAAGGTTTCTTCCTCTTGCTTTTAGGGAGTTTTTCTTGTTACTGTTGCCATTGGTGACGCTCATGGGGGCTTGGACCCAGATTTTTCTGTATAGCTGCTTTGCAACAATGCCTGTTGTAAAAAAGCGCTATATAAATAAACTTTGATGACTTTGACTAAATTAATGAATAACTGGTCACTATAGCAATGCAGACAAATCTAGCCTAGCTAGTAGCTAATGAAATGGCAAAGAAGAGAAAGATTAAAGACAAACATTGAGAATTAGAGACCAATGGACAGACTCATATGCACTCCAGCTGGTTTCCTGATGTGTTTAATCTGCAATGAGAAACTGTCGACCACCAAAAAGTCAGAACGCTGAGAGACATTTTACGAGAAACCGCTGTGCTTTTTTGACAAAATGTATCCTGTTGGAGATGCAAGAAAAGCAGCTATGGTTGAGCCAAAGCTAAAAGCAGAGCAAAGTAAGTCTACATTTTCGTTTGTGTTATATTTTAAGCCTATACTAGGATATCAGCACATACTGAGACATATTTACAGCCAAGATCTTAAAATGTTACACCACTAAAATGGACATAAAATGCTGTGGCTCCCAATGTGGTTGGAGTTTTGTGAAACGGGACAAAATGGATCTCAACACTGGGTTCCTGACCCCTGGCCTGGGTCATGGAGGAAAAAGAGTAAAGAACTGTACTGCATCGTTATCCTAATAAAACTCTGCTGAGACGTCACTCGAATTAGTCTAAGTAACATTATGGCTCAGCAGTAAAGCCCAGGCTACAGATTAGAAGCACATTAACATTCATGAAATCTGAAAAAGGCATCTGTACTTTCCATTATGGGAGCAGATATATTTTACTTCATAACTCCAGGATATGTATGGCTTTGTCAAACATAACCCTGGTAAAACTTGAGAATAGTGAAAAGTAGATGGATCATGTTTATGGCATTTATTAAAAAGTGTACAAAACCAAAAATGCATACAAACCTACATCATCACGATTAGAAGCAAGCAGAAACCCAAGTCCAACGACAGTTCTCTCTCAGCGATGCACTTCAGATGAAGAGTTCAGCTGAAAACTTGCGTCCACCGAGGAAATTACACTGCTTGACTGTGGGCTAAAATTCAGAGCATTCCTATTTACAGCAACTGCAGAATAAGTTATGCGCTTGATGGGCCAGTTTCACTGTTTGTACACTGCTACACTGATTGTCGAACAGATGGAGCATGAGCAGACAGATCTGACACTACATCCACATGCTTGTATCAGGAAGACTTCGCCGCTTGGCCTTCGAGATGCCAAATATACACAAAAAAACACAATCTGCTACTGGAGCGGCCAAACTCGGCCTGTAGTATTGCTTATCGTCACTAGCACACAGAAACGTATTAAAGCTTAGCGCCTTTTGGAAGTACGAGTTTGTTGTTCTTGTGCTTAAAATAAAAGGACCTTGGTTGATGGAAAAAAAATGACACCATGAGCTCTGTCAAAAAATAATAAACATACAGACACGTACATTAAAAAAAATCAATACCAGTCATGTGATATTTTAAATGAGACTGGATAGTTGAACACCACAAATGGTAAGATCAGCCTGTGCTAAAGTGCATTTAACGTCAACAAACACTGCGAATGAAATGAGAAAAAGTCTTCACGTCCCTGAGCCAGCAGGTGCGGCCGAGAGGTCAGAGGGAGTGCAGATTCGTCAGTCATCAGCTGTTACTTCAAGTCAAGTTTTTCCACTAACAATTTCGTAAAGATACCGTGCATGACCCCGATGAGCCGGTTTGGTTCGTCTCCAGCCCTCGGGTCTGAAATAAAAGTCCTCTATTGGCGTACTCCTCAGAAGAGAGGGTTTCATTGGTGGATGGAGTTTAGGGGATGGTACTTGAAGGCAGCCTCTCAGCACCATGACTTTGTAGTAGTGTTATACAGTTATCTTCATTCGTCCTGAGGAGAAAGAGGAGAGATCCCAGTGAGAACTCAGGGAGAAAATTTATAGCACTACTGGAGCTGGATTAGTTTTACCAGATGATGTTGTGTGATGTAATGTATGGTGGTTGACTAGCCAATTGGTGGGGGATAAAGTATTGGTGTTATTTCACCAAATTTCCAAAAGACTGAAACATCCTAGCTTGTAAATAAACTTGACAGGCTCCACAATCAATGACCATCATGTGCCAGGCGGCTGTGTCTAGGTACAACTAACCCAGCTCGAGTAAGGCTTATGGTGCTAGTGTTCAAAAGTGTGAGCAGGAAATGTACACAGTGAAGATCCCATAATTCACAGAAAACTGAATCACTCAAATTCAGGTCACTGAATTTGGACAAGTACTCTGGCTGTCATGATTACTCCATTAAATTCAATATTTAAAAAATATTTTTTTGCCCTGGCAATTTGCACAATATTGCATACAATGTGCATTTTATTTGCTTCTTCTGTACAAAATAGAACCATTTGTATACATTTTTGCCATACAATGTTTCCTGATCTTTTAGGGAAGACTTTTAAAAGACTTCCTAGTTTGTCTTTTTATGGTAAAATACTTCAAATTATTCCAAAGACCCTGTATGGTTTGTTATTGTTCAGTTAAGTCCATTTTATTGTTTGTCCCTTGTCCATCAAAATAATGGACGATACTGGACTACTACTAAAATTGACAGTGACAGCCCAACTACATCCAAGGCTTTGTTCACACAGCAGGTAAAAGTGGCCCAAATCCGATCTTTTTCTCCATATGTGACACAGATGTGTATCTGTGTGTCAGTGTGAACAGATAAACACACTGAATCTGACACTTTCAGTTCCAATTTGAGACGCTTTCATATGTGGTACTGAAATCTGATACATATCTGATATGCGGCAAAGTGACTCAGTCTAAACAGCAAGATTGGAATTTATGCAACTTTTACGTCAATCCAACTCGACATTTGTCATAATTTTGTGCTGCTGAGATCTCAAACGGCCAAACATGGCCATAGGAGAACGAGGCTGCAGCGTCAAAGAACAGTTAAAAAGTCTGAAAGCAAAGTTTAAAGAATCCGAGGACACGAACCAAAGAAGTGGCCGCGCCCTTTTTATGGTGAGCTTGAACACATTCTGGGTGATGAGCCCAGCTGTCAGTCAGTGAAGCTTCATGATGGCTCCTGTGATGCTGGCGAAGATGAAGCTGAAAGCTTCGGGAGCGACTGACGTTCATTCATAGTCAGAATTGTTTACCTCTGGACGAGCCACGTGAAGCAACGAACACGTTCTTTTGCACATGCGGGTCAGTTTAGGAGCTGATCTCCTCAGACTGATGTCTCATACAGATCACATTTAAAAGATAAGCCAAGAAAAAAAAAAACAAAACAACAACAAAAAAAAACACGGATTTGGTGTGAAAATCAGATTTGGGCCATTTTTCCCTGCTGTGTGAACAAAGCCCAAGTAATTCACTTTGTACAAAGACTCCAAGCAGACTATCAGCATAAAGTCCCCAGTTTAGTTTAGTTAGTCACTACCTATTATGTTAGGATACAGTTATGAGGATGAAAGCTTGTATTTATGGATAAGTCAGGAGCAACGTCTCTACATGTGAAGGAGGAATGTGCACTCTGGTGTTGGTATAGATCCACAGTATGGTGATCAGCCCATACTTGTCACAAAAACAAAAATGGTTATCTGCACTTCACCACAGGACAGCCCAGCCATACAGAAGCAGGTGTGAGTGAATACACTCCAGTGTGTCTCTCTCTTTCACACTCACTCCCTCACACACTCACACACACACACACACATAATACAGTGAACTGTGCACAAACACAAAGCCACAGAAGACAGCAGCAGCGCCAACACATGGACAAAAAAAGAAATCAAAATACACATAAGACAATAAAAGGGGGTGCACAGTCGGAATATGAACATGATTATTTTTTATTTTGACCTGTATAATTATTTTGGAATCTGAGCCAGCAAAGTGCACACACTGCATCTGAATTAGAGGTGCACACCAGCCTGAAACAGGGGCCTGAACCCAACTGGTACCCTCACTTTTGGACAGTACACTATCATCTTATCTGCAGATGTCCAAATTGTGAACAAACTATCTGGTGTTGATTCTCAACAGCAACAGGCTTAGGATCAGGATCTTTGATCCGAGTTAGCATTAGGTTTAGGGTTGAGGTTGAGGTTAGGGCCAGGTTTAAGGTTAGGGAAAGTTTAGGTGAATTCAATAGATATTTTGTTGAATTTAAGTTAGTAACTATCTAACTGATATCTATCTAATTTCTAAGCTAGTAAATATCTACAAAGCATTATACCCAAACAAAGATGTTTCAACTGGCTCATCGTAACAACAAACAAAACAAACTTGATTCAGATGAAAATCACAACTGATGATCTGTGCACCCTTGACAAAAAACTGGACATGTTTAAAAATAAAAAGCAACAATAATTTCTCCTAAAGATCATCTTTGCTCGCTCTCTCTCTTCCTTATTCTTCCTCTCACACACACACACACACACACACACACACACACACACACCTTCCTAGTGTTAGAGGCAGCGTGTTAGATGGGCAGAAAGCGATCAGGTGACACGGGGGGCACCATGCCATGCTGAGCTTGTCCATGCCAATAGACCAATCAGATAAAACTAAAACCCCACCTACCTGCCCACTGTTCCCAACCAATGGGCTGCCTCTGTCTACCTGTCTGTCTGCAAACCAACCAATCAGAGGTCACAATACAGACGAGGTGCCAAAGCGCAGCAAAATAAAGAAGACTCAGATCCTGCCAATGGACTGAGCTTCTTTTTGAACACAACGTTCATACATGTAGGTTTAATTTATTTACCCATGCCTGGCTCACAAATGTGTTCTTTCATAGCAACTGTTGCTAGGTACGTAGCAACTCTAATCAAACACTGCAGTAATCTGAGTAATTTATGCATTTTCTCATAAGGTTGAATAAGATTTGCTGACGCTCTGTAAAGCTTGTCCATCTTAGCAACAGCTGATATAAAAGATAGCATTTGGGGGGCAAAGCATGAAAAGGTCAATTTAATGCTTATATGCTTAAAGTATATGCATTTAGCAAGTGCATGCAAGACCTTTATGAAGGCAAGGCAAAAGACCATTTATGTCCATTAAGTGCAGAAATATCCAACTGTTGTAAAACTGTAAAATGATCAGGTTGAATCAGTAACTAAAGCAGGAAATGTTTGTCTAGTGAATTTTGCATCCTGTACATCTGAAGGAGACAGCTGTAAATCTGTGTTTTTGATCTGATAGGCTTGTCTTTTGCAACTGGGGGTTGGATGTGTTTCTCCTCACCTGTAGCGAGCTGGCTTTGGGACCTCCTACGCGTGGTAGTGCTTTTGGAGCTGGAGGACAGAGTGGAGCCTGCACTGCTGGCTCTGGAGATGGGGAGGGGCACTGGGGTCACTGGAGGAGAGTCCAGCTTTGTGTGCATGAGATGAAGAGAGAGAGAGAGAGAGAGAGAGAGAGAGAGAGAGAGAGAGAGAGTGAGAGAGAGAGAGTGAGAGAGAGTGAGAGTATAAACAAATGACAAGTGCAACATAGACGGTACAATGAGAAGAGTGGATGATCATATTTATTCTAGCAGTGAACCACAGTGGTCAGATAGCTGGTAGCTGGTCTATAGGGAGCGACAGGCTGATTTAAGCCTATGTAACCACACACTGGTAAGTAATTAGCAATTAGACTTGCTCATGTGCTTCCTAACATATTTTTATCTATAAAAATAGAAAAAAGTGCATTAGCATAAAAATAAATAATTTTTAATAGGTAACACTATAACATAAATCTGTTATAGGATCACTACATAACACAATCTGTTATATAGATCACTTCATTAATCCCAGAGGGAAAGTCGTCTATTACAGCAACACAAAATACAGCAAAGAGCAAAACAAGAGCAAAGTATTGTCGTACGCTATTATACATATGCATAACTAAAATGGAAGAAGTACAAATTTATAATAAAATGTGCAGTACAAAAATAAGTAAGTTAAATCACATATACACCGATCAGGCATAACATTATGACACCTCCTTGTTTCTACGCTCATTGTCCATTTTATCAGCTCCACTTACTATATAGGTGCACTTTGTAGTTCTACAGTTACAGACTGTAGTCCATCTGTTTCTCTGCATACTTTGTTAGCCCCCTTTTACCCTGTTCTTCAGTGTTCAAGACCCCTATGGACCCTCACAGAGCAGGTACTATTTGGGTCGTGGATCATTCTCAGCACTGCAGTGACACTGACTATTTGGTGGCGGGTTAGTGTGTGTTGTGCTGGTCTGAGTGGACCAGACACAGCAGTGCTGCTGGAGAATAATCCACCACCCAAATAGTACCTGCTCTGTGGGGGTCCTGATCACTGAAGAACAGGGTAAAAGGGGGCTAACAAAGTGTGCAGAGAAACAGATGGACTTGTACACCTATATAGTAAGCCGTGCTGATAAAATGGACAATGAGCGTAGAAACAAGGAGGTGGTCATAATGTTATGCCTGATCGGTGTATATTATGCAGGTGACAATGCAGTGGTGCATGTCACGTCCAGCGAATGAACAGAGTGACTAAACACTGTAAACATAACATATGTTAATAGTTGTATATGCATGGGTGTATAAACAAAGTGGCAGTGCACAGTAAAAAGTAGAGATACATAATGTCCAGTTTAAGATAGTTGAGATTAGTTAACTTGACCCGGTTTGCTTAACTACTTTCTAAAGGCCTAAATGATTTCCACATATTTGCAGTTTGAGACAAGTGTGTGATAATTTAGGTGTGTGATTTGAATGATGTGAACTGCTTGCTTGTTCTAAGACTTAGACTTCTGACTGACTGTCTATATTACTTTCCATTTTCATGTCTTCATTAGACTGTAATCTGTTGCGGTCAGTAAATATACCCACTTCCAGCACTTCATGTTCATTTCTGGTTTAAGCCAAACCCACTTTTGGTTTGTAATTAAAAAAATAAAAAAGGTATTTGTATTTGTATTGGAATCAGTATCAAAAATACCCAAGCCTAGGTATAAGCTTCCTTTATGTGTTATCACAACGCAATATTAGCAAAAACTAAAGAAGCAAACTTCAGGCTCCAAACAGGTCTTGGATGACTGACTACATTTGGAGTAAGAGGAAAATTTAGCAAATCCGATTTTCCAACAAACTACCACTTTACAGGTGTTTCTGTGGTTGTGTGTGCATGGGTGTGTACCTCCACACTATCATGAGTAGGTGAGGAGGACGTTGAGGAATTCTCTGCATGTCTTCGTGAGGAAGAGGATGGACCAAGCTCGACAGTGCGAACACGCTGAGCAAACTTCAGAGAGCAGACGGACTCACTGATGTTACTGTCTAAAGGAGAGACCTGAGGGAGATGGAAACAGTTGTACAGTATAAAGAAAATGAAAAAGAAGTTACTTAACACTTCCACGTTTAACAGAATCTGCTTACCTACTTTCCACAAGCTTAAGTGCTTTCCACATATTTTCACAGTATTGCAGGCTACAGTATGTAACACTTAAAGTGCTTAAAGCACTCAATGTCCTTAATCTGGGCTTTTATACACGGTGCATGTTCTTGGCCGAATGTTCTGTGCTGTGTTCTTTCCTAATCAGTGCCATGACACGGCAAAAGACAATTTACTGTGAAGAATCGACATCAGCACGAAATTTCTCACTGTCATTAGTTTCGATAGCTTCTACTGACTCTAGTCTGGGTTAACGGCTACTAATTCTGGTTATGCTGCATGATTTTAAGACAGTTGCAGTCCCAATACTAGTGGTCACAAAGGACTTAATCATTAGCCAGATCAGCTGTATTAGATTAGGGAAAACAATGTGCAGAGCAGGGGGTCCCTGTGACTGAGAGAACAGGCACCACTAGCTGAAGTAGATGATTAAGATGCATCAAAACGTTATGACACATTGATCTGAAGGTGGTGATCCAAATGCACTGAATGCCAGAATTGATCATAATCAATTATAGTAACACTCAGTACAGCCTATCGTCCTTTTTAGAACAAAACCATGCATCTCCAAAATGATAACTTTGCAGGAGGGTCTTAACATTAAATGTAAGTTAATGTAATTAGATTTTATGTTTTAATCCTATAATTTTTTTAAATTAGATTTTGTCATTTCTATCAGCCATTTCCTAAGGAAAATTTCACATAAAGTAAAGAGTAGCTGGTGTTTTTTTAAATAAAGCCCCCCCAAAAAAAACAAAACAAAAATGGAGATACACTATTGTATCCGAACAAAGACAATGTGCTTATATTTTGGTCAAAATACAGTTCTCAGGCATTTTGGAGCATTGTCTATATTCCACTATTGGATAAACAGTTTCTCAGGTCACATTTGTGAATTCTGTATATATTAAAATCATACCAAAATAACAAATCATATCGTGATGAAATTTGAAATTTCATGACACACTGAATTGATTCCTGAGGAACCGTAATTGAACCCAATTGAGTTCAGAGACTTCGACTGTGAGGACACCTGCGTATTTACACACCTGCACAACCATGAGTGTTTTGCTGTCTCCGCTGAGCGAGTCCTGGAGCAGGTATGTGAGGCGAGAGTTGCGGAAGGGGACGTGCGAGTGCCGGGAGCGCAGAGCATTGATGACATCACCGAGAGCCGACAGGGACTTGTTGATGCACTGTGCCTCGCGCAGGCGGCTTCCTTCAGCACCCGATTTAGCAATTCTCTCAGAACCCGCCAAGTCCACCAGGTTCAGCTTACCTACAGAGACACACCCAAAAGAATGACTCATGAGCTGCGATTAAAGGTGCTTAATGAACAGTTTGTAAATGTTGAGCCACTCTGGGTGGATCAGAAGTGGTTAACAGAAAACGAAACAAAACAAGAAAATTAACCATCAGCTGTCAATGAACCAAAACGAAAAATGTTAAACCCTGATTTTGAAATCAGGTATCCAGAACTTAATTATGTTATTTCATACAGGTACTCGCATATTGTTGCTGTTGTGACAAAACCTCCTATCTCCGAAAAAGGGAACTTCACAGGAGAAGGAAAGAGCCTTCTTAACTTTAAATGAAAGTTAATAAAAAGTAAAAATATATTTTTTAAAAGTAATTTTAGACCAAAACAGACAACAAAAAAAACAGAGAAATAAGATTCTGGTTTTGACAGCGACAATTTATCACATAGGGAACATATGTGTGACGTCTTGACACCATATATTGTGTCTGTATCCCAACCTGAAGTTCGGTGTCCTGTGGAGGAGTTGAAGCCGGCGACAGTGACGATGAGGAGAGCGTGAGAACGTGAACTGTGTTCGTTCAGGTTGGTGCACGCTGTCGCCCGGTTCATGTGACCCAGTTCAAACACCTGCAAAGTAAAAAACAAAACAAAACAAAAAAAACAAATATTGGCAATTTATTCCATGATAAAGTACGTCCAGCAGTTTTGAGTAGAGTGACCATACTTAGCAGCAATGCTTTCCAACCAATTACACAGAATTAACTGTTGCTGGTTGTACCTTATTAATATCCTCCACGCTCTCCACTGTGAATTCAGTCAAACCCGGAACATACAGCTGACCACTTCCATCCGGACACATCTTAATGTCCAGCTTCTCGCTCGGGTTGTCTCCTAAAAGATTCCTGAGGGAAATCAAAGCAACACAGACATGTGTTGAGTGAGGTATGAACTAGACTTAACACAAGAAAGCAGCAGACCAGAGGATTAGGCGACAGTACAAAAAGTCAACAGAATAAATACATAAAATAGACTATAAGCTACACAAAACAGTGTACAATAAACTACATAGACAATAAGAGGACCAGGAAAATCTGAAAATGAAGTGGGAGGAACGTCGGAACAACTGCTTTGAGTGGATTTTCTGGGTGGCCTGTCTGAAATGTGTTTTCTAAACTCCTAGCAGTTAATTAAGTGGCTTCCTTCTGAATTATCCAGCACGGCATATTTCAGACAGAATTCAGTGGGGATTGTGTGCAAATGCACAAAACCCTCCAGCACTTCCAAAGGTTCCTCCCACCCTTTTTCTTTCTAGTTTAGGCTGAAGCGTCTCTTTAAGCACATGACAGTAGACAGTAAACAAAGTGGAGTTAAAGGAAAACAGCTATTTGTCCACAACAGCATTTTTTTGTGTATGTCATATTATAGGTACACACAGGTCATTAGCAGCAGATATATGAAAATATCTCTGTCTGCCTCCTCAAACCACAACAACTAGAAACAGGCCACATAATTCAGAGCATCATCCACCAGAAGACCATCCATAATTCCTCTCAAACAAAACAGTGAGCCAAACAGCTGTGCAAAGGTTATACAACACAGAGAGAGAGCGGGAGCGAGAGAGGGAGGGAGGGAGAGAGAGCGAGAGCGAGAGAGAGAGAGAGATATGATTTGGGACTATGAGTCCTGATTTGAGTGCGTACTGTGCGTGCTGTGTCACGTATGGTTTTAGTTGCAGTTACGTAAAAAGATTTGATTTAATATCATTCTGGCCATCTGCTGGGAATAAATGGAATATTTCTTAAACATCTCACATTCTAGCTCTTTCCCTGTTTCCTCCATATTTTCTTCCCCCTATCTATCTCTGATTCCCTCCCTTTCTCCATCATGCACCCTCCCACAGCTGTGGTAAGGGCACAATTACATAAGCAGACTAAGAGGGTATTTCACAAAACAGGATCTCTCTTTACAGGGTATTTACTGGTATATTTCTAATATATGAGCATTTACTGTGTTAAAGTACAACTTTGTAAACTCTGAATCACATTGTAATTAAGAATCTTGTAATTAAAACAAAACTCATGTCAATGTGCAGCTTAAAAACTTTCCAGTTTCTGAAATTTGAGTGAAGTAGGGAATATATTGGCTGATTTCACACTGATTAGAAAAACTCATCACATCAACTCCATTTAAAGTGTCACAGGATAAGAATCAGAAGAAAACATCAAGTGTTATGCAGACTACTTCAGTCAAAAGTCTGAGGTCTAAAGTCTGATTAAAGCTGCGCTATGTAAGTTTTGGGGATTTGGACCTCTCTGGTGGAAATGTGTAATTACACAAAGCGTGGAAGAAGGCTTTGTAACATGGGCTGAGCTTAGGACCCCTTCCCAAGCGGCTGAATTGCAAATGATTGTGTGCGTGTTAAAAGAGAATTCAAAACTTGGTGAAGGATGTGTCTTCTGAGGATGTGAGTGAAATATCTGTTATTGTCATCATATCTTCGTCAGTATAATTTTTATTTTTTGGGACCTAAACATCAAATTTTTCAAGTTCAAGTCATAATGGATAAAAAGTGAGCTTTACTACTTAATTTATCACGTTACATTCACTCTTTTGATCACTTGAGACTACAGATTTTTCACTTTGTAAATAAAAGAATTAAAATTCCATATAATCAAAAAGATAATTAAAATGGGTGCTCTTAGATGTTCACTCCAGGTAGAACTACACAACATTTCATCACTGTACACCATTCAGAACAAGTTCTGCAGCATTTTCTCCTGTAGGCACTTTTTCCCAGTAGTGCCAAGTCATGGAGTTTGTATCAAATGTACAGAAGAAGCACCGGTGTGTCAATGTTGCCTGTGTTTGCTCTTACCGCAGCGTCTCGTTGTAAATCTCCACCATGCTGACTGTGATGTTGTAGTCCCAGTCAGGCTTTTTCTCAGACACCTCAGAGAAGAGCAGGCGCAGGGCTCGCTGGTTAATGCCAGGGTCCTCAGGAATGCCCTGCAACAAGAATGAATGTTTTCAATAACATAAAACCAGTATAGTGGCAGACAAAGGCATTCATTCTATTATGCTATTCTAACTTGTGCTGCCTCACAAATTTACAATTAATTAACGAGAAGCTGAAAATAAAAAATGCTGTAGTCTATTTATTTTAGTGTATGTAGTGTATTTATTTTAGTGTATGTATTATTCCTGTTGAGATTTTTACTAATGGATATACCTTAATTTCCACCACATAATTCAAGTTCAACTTGAAATATGTGGTGGAAATTCTCTATATTTGTTATATTTAAGTATAAATTCTGCATTTTTATGCTGTAATAGTGCTTAAAAATAATTTCAGCACAATAAAACAAACAAACAAACAAACAAACAAACAGTCTCTTTCAGTTACTATGCTTCTAAACTCTGGAACTCAATTCCACCTTTTATTAGACAGGCAAGCTCAGTGCTCACTTTTAAGAAGCATTTAATAGCGTCTCTCTTTAACTCAGCATTTAATTAAAACTCTGCGTGTCGAGGTGTTTATCTTCTAATTTGATCTTTTTCATTTTCTTCTGATTCTAAATAGATACTAATGATTTCTTGTATAACTATGTTTTATCACCTGTCTGTAAAGCACTCTGAGCTGCCACCGGCATGAAAAGTGCTATATAAATAAAAATATTATTATTATTATTATTATTATTATTCAATTAGAAAGTATAAGGACATTATACCTCCATGGTGTAGGTCTTTCCTGAGCCTGTCTGACCATAAGCAAAGATGCACACGTTATAGCCATCTATGCAGGATGTGACCAGGGACTGCACTTCCTGAAACACCTGACCAATCAGAAGAGAGGAGACAGTTAGGCCACTTCACCTACTAGAAATACAAACACCAGCATGACCCGACATGATCTCGTGCTTTAACTGACCTCCTCCTGTGTGGCCTGAGGGGGGAAAACTTTGTCCAGTTCAAATGTCATGAGCTTGCCCTTATTGGAAAGGTAGAGCACAGCATCATCGTCTGGGTCAAAGGTCACCATGTTCTTGCTGTCAGACTCCGTTTCTTCCTGGCACATAGGACGAACCCGGCAGAACACCCGAATGTTTCCTGTGAAAATACAAGAATTGTGATTATCTATGCATTACGATGAGCCTGACCGCTGTTTGTAATGGCACTACATGTGTATCATATTTAAACAGTATCATGTTCAGCATTACAATTACAGAATGAATACAGAATAATAACCCCGTATTTATTCAGTTGTTTGACTAATTTATTTTCCATCTATTGTCTATTATGTCTCAATCTGCAGTGGATATGGGAAGCAGGCACTGTATGTTGAAGTTTGTCGACATCTGCTCATCCAGCATTTTTTCCAGAATCAAGGTATTAATAGTGAGTGTCTCCAACAGCCTCTACTCTCCTGGGAAGGTTTTACACCAGATGTTAGAAGATTGCTGTAAATGCAATCAAATCCTCACAACAGCAAAATGTTCCAACATCTGGTGTAAAGCCTCGGTTGTACTCTATTTGGTGGCAAATTTTCACCACCACATTGTTTGTGTGCCTCACCACCACAATATGCAATACCACTGCCATAAACCCGAAGGGGTATCTGTACCTTAGACTAGCTTAGTGAAACCAGCCTCAATGAACATAAAATATCAACCGCAGAATTTAGGCAATGCTTGTGTACCAGGAGTCATGAGGCATGGTGGTAAAGTGAACCATTTCTGCAATGCTTTTGTTTTTACACAGCAGTCTCAAGTCCGGAATGTGAAGTAGTGTTTTAAACATGCTCCTATCGCATTCACAACAAGTGGCAAAAAAAATCGATTCGCAATTTTGGGTCTTACACAAGACCACTACTCCTGCTTACACGTTGCCAGGATTAAAAGACTACACTGATTAACAGACCAGCAGAAAAGCCATGGTTTCTGCTTCTGGTTCCGAAAACGCTTTACTTACACTCTGTGTTCTTATGGGCAAATCAACCAACCAACCAACCAAAATAAATAAATAAAAGCGGTTATGATGGTGATGTGCCCATCAGTGCAGCCGGCATGTTACCATCACAGTGTCTCAGCTGCATCCCTGTTATACTCGAATGTTTTGGGCACCAACTGCCCTTACAAAACTAAAAGAATGAAAATCTTAGGTAGAGGAATTTGGTAGAGTGCATACCTTTCAGGCGCACCAGTTCATTGTGGCACTTTTTCCTCAGGTTCATCTCCCTCTTGTATTTGCGAAGCAGCTCCTGATTAGCACTGCTCACTTCTCCGATCACCTGGCAGATCTATATTAGTGCATACACAAAACACTCTTGTTTTTCATTCGCACGAACACACCCATCATTATGTCCCAAATGTGTGCATGTGGCTAAGGTTTGTTGCATAAACAGTAATGTCCACAAGTCTGAGACCACTAGTGAAAAATGCTTCCATTTTGCATTCCTTTGAATTTCACAAAAAACTTACAAATTATATTATCAGCATAACAATTTGAGTGAAAAGTACAATCTTTGACAGTGTGTACGTCAGCAAAAAAATTGTATAAAAGCCTTAACATAGTTGATGACACAAATTTGCTTAGATCTGAATAGCCACCTAAAAATTGTGCAGAAACTTGAATGTTTCTTCTTCATTTTACTTGCAGTAACTTCTTTGGTTTAATTTTTTCTAAAACTTTGCTTATTTCTTGGTTTAAATGAAAAAATTCAAAATTTTTAATGTGGTTCCAGACTTTTGGACCCTATGGTATATACTGCACAGTAGGTATCCAGGGCTGCAAAACATTTTTCATTAATTGCTCTTGTGATATTGGCCTTTGCAATACAGAAGGCTGCAGTATGTAACTAAGCCTTCTAACCAAATCACAATCACAATAATACACTGCAAGGCACATAGCAATCACAGTATGCAGCAATGTTATTACAATACTAGTATTTTGTTCGCCCTGCGATGGACTGGCGACCTGTCCAGGGTGTATCCTGCCATCTGCCCAATGACAGCTGGGATAGGCTACAGCACCCCACTGCGACCCAGAAGGATAAGCGGTTTAGATGATGTGTGTGTGTGTGTGTGTGTGTGTGTGTGTGTGTAGTATTTTGTTCATATTGTGCAGTGTGCATGTGTGTGTGCCTCACCTCCTGTTTGGCTTCAGCGATAGCCTTTTCCAGCATATAAGGAAAGTCCTGCACCTGTCTCTTCAGACAGTTATAGTCACAGGTGAGTGTCCTCAAAGCAGGCTGCAAGGTCAACAAGTTCATCCGCACACCTGCATGAAGAAAGAGGATTAGAGACACAGGGATGGGCGTGTTTATTTGATATATAAAGAAGGAACTACAAACTCATGTTAATATTCATTTACTTTAGTGGTTCTGATCCCTGGTCCTGGAGGCCCACTGCCCTGCACATTTTCCCTAATCCAAGTAATAAGTTCATTAATGACCCCTTACTGAATTCAGGTGCGTGTGTTAAAGAAGAGCAAGCACTACAATGTGCAGGACAGTGGGTCTCCATTCAATAAGGCATGTTTATCTTCATAAATAACATAATAACACATAATTATATAACTCTTATTAAGTTTGTAACTGATTACATGTCAGAGACTGCAGAAGAGAATGTGGGGACACACAACGCCCTAAATTATGCAAAATGATCACATTTAAATGGAGCTGTATTTAGAAATATTTCAAGGTTTAGCTTGTTCAGGTGTAAAAATTAGGGTCTGACTGATACAAAACTTTTGTGGCTGGCACTAATTTTAAGGGGCTAAATATTTCAATACACCTTAATATTAGCAAATATAAATGTACAGTTACATTACAGATTTTAAATGTATACTCCAATAGTTTTAGTTGAAGTATGCTTTACTGATACCTTAAACAATCTTAAATAATAAATACAGCAGCACTGGTTTCTGTTGATCACCTCTCATTTTTTCCATTAGTTCTCTTCACAAAAACACATTTTGTTTTTGAACATGTTATTCTCAAGCTAAAGGGTTTTTTTTTTTCAATTTACAAACATTTATTATTTCAACCATAATGGTGTTTTGTGTTTAGACCAATTCAGCTTGCATTGCATTATTATATTAGGTTCATCAGGCACAACTATTACAAAATTTTGCCCCATCATTGGGTGCGTTATATGTTGCATATTAACATTATTTCTGTCAAGAAAATACCAATAAAGCACAATTATAAATTAAATTACATGAGCCGCCTCTCTTAGTAGCTACATGCAGTAAATCTGTCTTAAACCTTCTCATGAAGTAACATTATAAAAACATACACTCGCACAGGTACATGCACACACACCTGCGAGGTTCTCGTGCACAGACTTCATTTCACTCTCGGCTCTGATGAAGGCTTCTTCTATCACTCTGTTCTTCTCCTCCTCCAGACTCTGCAGCTCTGCCTCCAGCTGGCCTTGAGCTCGCTCCATCTCACCCTCATACACCAGGATCTAACACACATACAAACACACAGATTAGCTCATACACGGCTTTCACAGAGCAGGATTTCTCCAGATAACTTGCGCCCAAAGTTGAGGCTGTCCAACTAGAGGAGAGCCAAGGGATATTCTGCTCACTTTCATCCGGCTGTACTGAGAAATCCTGGGGTCTGTCTCAAGAAGCAAGCTCAGCTTAGAGTTTCAGCTACACAAAGCCTAACAAATGGAACCGTGATTAACTCGATTCATGATGGTGGTTCAATTTCTCTGTTAAACCAGGGTTAGATTATAAAGCTGTGATCACTCCTTGTGCTTTAAAGCAAAACAACCCCCTCCAAAAAAAACCTATTGGCACTGCCATGTTAGAGTTTACTGGAGTTATAATTGCCTTTGTGGCATGATTTGATGACTTCTCTGCTAAAAAGGCAGTATTCTCCATGTGAATGACACCACAAACATCATAAAGAAAAGAAAAGAACACAGGGGTCCATCTGATTGGTCACAGACTCACCCTCATTGGTCCAAGAGCTGTTTATCTGAAACCCAAAAGAGCATGGCAGACATGTAGCCCGGCAGAAAATTATCCACCATCATAAGACAGAAAATTCAGGGTAAGATTGAACTAAGCTTAAATTGTAGCTGGCTAAGCAAGAAACCCTTCGTGAGACAGAGCCCTAGTCAATGAAATAAACTCCTGATCTCCAACAAAACCACTGCTGTTTATCATCTTTTTTCCATGTTCGCAATGACACAAACACACAGCCATTCAGGGATAAAAGCGTCAGTCACATCTCTCAGAGGCAAAATACTACTAATACTAATCTAAATCAACAACATGGACACAAACTGCAGTGTCACAAATGAGCATACAGTTTTAAAAATATTACTGTATTATATATTCATTTAAATGCACACAAAACGTAATCTTTACCACAGTAGAAAGAAACATCTTTGATCTTAAAGGAGCCAACAATCACATTAATCCAAAAAAGGCTCTATATCTGGGTGTGTCTGTGACCAGGATTTTGCTGGGGTACACTTGAGGGTTTAGGGGAGGTTATGCTTCTCATTTGCGTCCTCTAAAAAAACACGGGGGATACAATACTCTACAAATACCGGGGTTTCAAGGGTCAAAAATGCACATCACTCAAAAAGATCAGCAGCAGAGTCCAAAATTAAAACACACTAAGCTCCCAAATGCATATAGATGATTCATTTGGAAAGTGCAGCAAGCTTGGAATTTTTTTTTCTTGCATTTTTAAATTGCTGAGCTGCTGTTTTCCACTCAGAAACTGGCCCAAATCTGAACGGTTTATATTGCCTGCCAACAACTGCAGCTAAAACATGTTTTATGTAAAGGTAAAGGTGACAGATGAGGGATTAGCTCTTTGATGTTTCTTAGTAACACATTTTAGAGGGAGGTGGTGACTAATGTTTGTTTATTTGATGACAACACCTTTAGAGGGCAGCAGTGAGTAATGTTTGTGTATTTGATAACACCTTTAGAGGGCAGCAGTGAGTAATGTTTGTTTATTTGATAACGCCTTTAGAGGGCAGCAGTGAGTAATGTTTGTTTGTTTGATAACGCCTTTAGAGGGCAGCAGTGAGTAATGTTTGTGTATTTGCTGTTTGTTAACACACCTTTTAGGGAACACTGGTGAGCAATGTTTGACAACTAGGAAATAAGACAGCTAATTTGGTCATTTTAGGTTACATGCATGCGTTCGTAGATGAAAAAAAAGAAAATTTTAATTCTTAACTGCAATTATTTCTATGGCAATTAATAGTCAGCTAAATTTTTCTACCAGTCCTACCAGCAGCTTGTGGTTGCACAAAAGTTAATTTCGGATCCTGATCACAGGGTAAAAAGTTGATCATTTTTGATGATTTTCAAAAATTCGGCTACGTCACTATCTGGTTCAGAAGAACTATTCATGTGCTGGAACATGACTCTGGTCACATTTTTGACCTTTGACCCCAGCCAGGTGCAGAGTAATCTGGCCGACCTTGGAGAGCCTGCGGGTGACCTCCATGTTGGCTTTGCCTACAGCCTTGGAGAGCAGGCCGCAGAGCCGAGCCTGGTCCAAACTCAGCTGGAATGCAAGTAGAGAGAAAAAGAGAGAGGACGGTTAACCTGCACCCCACTCACTACACAGGGCAGGGCACCTACTGGGACAACCACACACACGCACACACCGCTAAATACTGGCTCCAGTATACAAAACCTTACTCAGGTAACCTAGGAAGCAAATGGGGAGAAGAGCTCTCACACAGTATTGAGAACAGGTAGAACCACATCACATAAAGGAGTAAAGAACACAGATACATGTCCAACTTAGTCCGAACCACAGACTGCTTACACACACACACAAAAAAAAAAATTCACAACAAAATATGCTGTTTCAACCAGGGTTATTATAGTTTTTAAATTTTGTAAATTATAGTTTTTAAAAAGTTTTTATTTCCTTTTTTTACTCTGTTAGTCTTTATTTAGTTTCAGTTTTAGTTTGTAGTATTATGATGAACGCTGTGATTGTAGGCATTTGATAAGAGTTTAACCAGCGCTCCAGCGCACTTCCCGCGTCTGCGTCTGCTGTAGAGAGCAGCCGCTCCACTCACTAAAATGTCCAAAAAACAGTCAGAAAGTGAAAAGTTAGGAGCAATGCTTTGTGGCATGGACTGCCTGATGTTTATCAGATCTTCTGCGCTGTAAGTGAGTGAGACTGTTTTACACGTAACAGTACAAACAAATAAAAACAAACAAAACACGACGGAGCTCCCAACCAGTGTTGGCTGTCTGCGGCGCCATCTTGGTTAAGACACATACTTTGCAGAATGTAAGGTTTACAGGTATGACTCTGTGTGTGTGCGCGCGTGTGTGTGTGTGTGTGTGTGTGTATATGAGTGAGTGATGGTAGGAATGCATGTTTTATTTTATTTTATTCACTACATGTTTTATCTGATACTGTGCACTGTGAGCTCCTGTAACCAAAACCAAATTCTTGTATGTGTAAGCATATCTGGCCAATTAGGCTTGATTCTGATTCTCATAAGAGTAGAATGAAATTAGCACAGCAATAGACTGAGCTCGGCTCATCTCCTGCTTTCCTTAAAGACGGCCAATCACAGAAGAGTTCAAAACTCTCATTCACATCCTGAAAAAATGAAAATAAAAGGTTTTTTTCTCAGTAATTCTATTTCGTTTTAGTTTGTTTTGAAGTGGTTTTTGAAAATGTTTTTATTACAGTTAACAAGCACATTTTTCCCGTTAGTTTTCTTTTTAATAATAGTAATAGGTAGTTAACTATAATAACCCTGGTCTCAACATGCTTGAGAGAAAATGATTAGTGTTCGGGTGCATTCTCACTAATTTTAATACTTGAGTATATGTAAGACTTAATGACTCAACACTCTGTTAATTGCAACAGACAACGAGCAACAGAGGGGAAAAAAGAAAACGTTTTAGTATTTAAAAAACCCAAGGGAAATTAGTTATTTTCAGTTATTGCATAATCGCCTGATCACAGTCATATGTTTACGTTGCAACAAACAGAGCGAAAAGGGTGCAGTTTTATTCACTGGGTTGTGGCAAATGCATGTAAAAGAAAGGAGAAAACATTCTAACTACTGAATGGTGCTATAACACCTTTGAATGTCAGTGTTGCATAATGTTTGTTTATTTGAAGTTTGTTAATAACCTTTAGAGGCCAGTGGCGAATAGTGTTTGCTTATTTGAGCTCAAGCTGTCTATCATCAGTATGAAGTATTCACAGATAGTTAATTATCAGCCACTTTAGACTTGTACTTTAATACTCTGATACAATTTAATTGTAAAGACAATGAAATTGCTCATTGACAGGCCTAGAGCTAACAGAGCTAACCGGTACAACTACTGGAAGGTGATGAGGGCTCGTCTTCAACACAAGATATGTTTTCTTCTCAGTGGACGATGTGCTAACGTTTGTTTGTCAGGCAAATCTTTTCATTATTTCTGGACCTAGCAAACATCAGCTAGTGTAGTTAGCCTAGTTATCTACCTTGGACTACCTAATCATGTCCTTAGTAATATGTCCTCGGCAACATGCTTATGTTTTGCAGTAGCACACTTGTGTTTCGTAGCAAAGTGTAATATAACATACATACTTACTTGCAAATGTGAACAAACCTCTTATATTTTATAGCCCTGATAAAGTCATTGTTCCAGTGAACTGTTATTCTATATATATAATGAAGTAATGCAGCACAACGAATACACCACTGGTCATTTCAATATTCGAACACTGACACCTGGAACAGTTAACAGAGTATTCGAGTACACATCCCTGGTACGGGTAATCTCGCAACACTACAGGAGATGCAAAAAGTCCTAACTTAGCACACACCTGACAAAAGCCACATACAGATATAAAACAATACAAATGAACCACAAAAAAAATTACAAAAACAACACAAACACAGCAAAAACAGCATCTTGAGAAATTCAAAGTTGAAACAAAACTCTCAAGCCATAAAGAGCAGATGTGTACCTGCTGGCGTAAGTGGCTGCTGGTCCTTTGGCTTTCATGCAGTTGCTGCTCCAGTTCTCGGAGGAGCTCCCTCTGGACCCCCAGCTGCTCCTGGAGAACCTGGTTACGAGCCTGAGCGTCCACCAGAGCCTGCTTACACTGAGCGGACTCCACCTCTACTGTCTTAGTTACATACTGCAGAGAGAAAGGAAGAAAGAAAGAAAAGAAAAAAGTAAGGAAGGATGTATGTAGGTAAGTCCACACAAATTAGATACACATAACCAACTGCAGCTGGGATAGGCTCCAGCACCCCACTGCGACCCAGAATGATAAGCGGTTTAGATTATGTATGTATGTATGTAATTCTAAACCACTTCAGATATTTACACAAATACACAACGCATAGTGAGGGTGCAACAATTTCAGCATAGTATTAAAAAGCTAAAAATATTTGTTTGAAACTATGGATACAAATTTTGGCAAATTCTCCAATATCCTTATTAGTCTGTGATTAGCTGTTAGCCGACAAGGCTTAAACCAAGGACACGATCCCATCAAAATATCAACTGAAAAAGTTCTAGTTCTAGTTCTAGAAAATGACTGGCTGAGCCACTTTCAAAGCTATTGTGAAAACACCTGATATACACAAACTTATGAGCGCACACGTTAATCAAGTTTAGTATTAAAACAATATTTTTTATTAAAAATATTAAAAAGCAGTGCTGATAGGGGGGAACAGGTGTGCATGTATATGAAGTAACAAGACAGAACGGTACTAAAACTATAATATGTTCATGATTAAATGACCAAAACCTATAAAGAGATTAAAGAATACATACAATACAAAAATATCGAACTGAACTTATATAAGCTTATAGTTACACCCCTACTGCAAAGAAGTCATTGCAAAGACATGACAAAGTGCAGGAGACAATAGTTCACAAGTGTTCACATTTTTTCTGTATAATCACCGAAAACCATGTTGCACAGAGCACAGAAAAAGAAATACAAACAGTAAAATCATCATCATCATCATCATCATCATCATCATCAACCCTTATTTTTATAGCACTTGTCATGCTGGAGGCAGCTCAAAGTGTTTTAGAGAGGGGTGACAAAGCTGAACAGTAACAGAAGAAATTATGAGTAATAATTTAAAATTATAGAAGACGATAATACAGATCAAATTAAAAGGATAAATAACGAGACGCAGAATTTTAATTTAACATTAGAGATACGTTTTTAAATGTTTCTTAAAAGTGAGCACTGAGCTTGACTGTAATAGAAGGTAGAACTGAGTCCCACAGTTTAGAAGCACAATAATGAAAGAGTCTCCATGTTTTCTGTATTGTACGTAAGGTATTTGCAGACGGTCAGTATCTGCAGATTTAAGATCACATGCTGGAACATAAAACAGACAGACGCTCTGTGATGTAAGCGGGTGCTAGATCATTTATAACCTTAAAAACTTGTAGCAGAACTTTAATATCTATATTGAAAGATACAGACAGTGGGTACAGTTCTTTCTAATGAGTAGTGATATGATCCCTCTGTTCTGTTTTTGTTAGGATCTGTGCTGTTGCATTTTATACAAGTTGTAGAGGATGGACTGTTTTCTCAGGTAGAGCATTACAGTAATTAACTTCGCTTCTAACAAATGCATGAACATTTTTCCTTGTATCGCTCTGAGATAGAAAAATTCTGACTTCAGAAATATTTCTCAAATGATAAAAAGCTTCTTTAGCGACTGCATTTACATGCAGGATAAAACAGAAGTCAGAGTCTAAGATCACACCCAGGTTTCGTACTTCAGGTTTGGTGTGTGAAGCTAAAAAGCCGAGCACCTCATAAAGCAGCTTGTTCTGAGTTTTAGTACCATGGATCAGTATTTCAGTTTTTTTATGATTTAGTTGTAGAAAATTTAGGGACATCCACTGAGAAGTAACTGACACACAGAGTCAACAGAGTCTTGATTATCAGAAGGAATGGGAATGTATAATTGTGTGTCATCAGCATAGCTATGAAAACTGATATTATGTTTCCTAATGACACCATTTAGAGTATCAAGAGGAAATCAAAGGACCTAAAACTGAACCTTGTGGAACTCCACAAGAAATGTTACATTTTTTTGATGAATGATTTCCCAGTGAAACCATGAGTCTATTAACTAAAGATGATTTAAACCAATCTAAAACAGAAAGTGCAAAGAAACATAATGAAACAAATGCTACATTGCTCACCTTGACCTGTGGAGGTGCTGCAGCCTGGCGGCTGAGGGCTTCTTCTACGTCTCTGAGCTGAGCGGTGAGCCGCTCCTCGCTCTCAGCCCTGCGCTGTAAGGCCCCTTCTAACTGCTGCTGGATCTCGTGCCTGCGCCGTGAGGCCTCCTCCAGCTGCTCCTGCAGCTGCGCCACCAGGACCGTCCGCTCCTGCACCTGCTGCTCCAGCATAGCCAGCCGCCGCTCATGCTCATGGCACTGTTCCTCACGGCGAGAGAGCTCCGTCCGGAAGACCTCCGCATCCTGACACACACAAACATACAGGAATGATGAATAAGACAGAGAAAGGCTCAGCAGAATGAGAATGAACAGGGAAGAACTAATTAATTTCACATCCCACACGCTACTGAATGTTTTAATGACTGACCTTGCACTGTGTCTATGTGTAAATATGTTTAAACCAGTGTATCTGTTATGTGTATATATTGTCCAGTGTTTCTTCCATCCATTAACAGTGAGTCTTATTTTTTTAAGATCAAGAGATCCCACCATAAGAAGTCTCATATCGCTGTTGTCAGAAGAAAACCTCTCCAAAATGGTAACTTTACAGGAGAAGGAAAAAACCTACTTTACTTTCAATGTAAGTCAATGGAACCAGACTTTTTTTCCCCCCAAGTCATTTTGGCCCGTTTCTTTTAGTTCATTTGTCATGAAATTTACACACAATGTAAAGGGCAGCAGCATTTTCAAATTATGTCAAAAACTGAAAAATGACAAAAATGGAGATACAAGGTTTTCCTCAGACAGCAACGATAAGTGCATTCTATATGGTTACCCAGTACTATACCACTGTAAGTTCAGACCACACAATTTGATTGGTTGAAAGTGTTTTAATCATTAGAGCCCGGCCAAAAAAGTTGCTAAAAATCCTGATAACTGATAATATTGGCAAATATCATTTTATATTTATATTTTATTTTGTATTCCAACAGCTTTTGTTAAACAGTGCTTTAATGACTATGTGCCAGTTTTCACTGGTCACACCTCTTTCGAATCACACGTCTTTCAAATACTGTAGCACTGGGGTATGTATGCAATTTTCGTTTCTGTCCAGTATTTTTCTTGTTTTTCAACAGTCCTTTCCATAAAAAGACAGTTTGTGTTATAACATATTATTCTAATGCTTAAGGTGAGGTTTGGATACATTATACAGCTACTGTTATTTAACTACAATGGTTTGTGTTCAGATACGCCTGCTCAGTCAGTATTGCTGCCAAATAGTTAAACCGGGGGTGACTCATGTAAGACTCCCCAGATTTAGTCTCTCATGTCAGCTGATCCACAGTTCGAATCCCGGTGATGCTGCGACCAAAAAAGTCGCTAATAAACCAATAATAAACCAATAAAACTGTGGGTTGTTGATGCTGATCACATGAGTTATGCAGGCAACCTGGCTGTGTGTAATGTGAAAGTGTTTGTCATGCCAGATGGCCAAGCAGGCCAAAGCTAATCAATGTCCTTAACTGACAGATGTAATACACACTACCGGGTAACACTGACATCATGCAGTGTTAGTAGTGGCATTATGGGAGAATCGAAATTCAGTACTTTTATGGTACAGAATTACTTGAAAAAATTCTGTCTAATGGAACCAACATCCTACTGCTCCCATGCGTACAATTTGAATGACAAACATCTTTCCAAATAGGAACTGTTTTTAATTTATTTTTATTTCATTTACCATAAAGATTTTTTAACCAACAGCACAGGTCGAACTACTGTTTATTTGTAGGTTAACAATTAATCAGTTAATCTTTTTCGCTAGTCAGCAACAATCCCTGAGGTCAAAGTGGACCGATATTTCAACAGTGAAGGCAGCAATAAGTGACTGAGTGCATGTGCACTCTCTGTAAGCACTTCTGGCTGTGCTGTGTGTGTATACTGTACCTGGCTGTGAGGGCAGGCAGAGCTGGAGCAGGTGGCTGGAGGCTCGTGGGCATTGCTGGCTCTCAGCTCCTGTTTGAGCCGCTGGTTCTCACTCTCCAGCCGCTCCAGCTGCTTTTCCAGGTCTGTCGCCCCCTACGTATAAACACAAACACAACTGTTTCATATAAAGTCAGGATGTGGGTTCATATATACAGGCGTGTACAAATGTTTGAACACTGTGACAAGTCAAATGACATGCTTTGTTGATTTTTGTAATAGTAACATCCTTTAAAGGAACAAACAAATATAGCATTTTTTTCTGCAACGTCTAGTGCACCATCCATTTGCTGAGTCTAACATATTGGGGGGGAAAAAAATAAAACAAAATATAAAATCTGCCACAACTTGCACAGACCACATTCTTTTGTTTTATTCACCCCCAAAACAGGTTAAATTCAGCAAATAAACTGTAACTGTTCATTAAAATGTGCATAAGCGTGCTCTATGTAGAGGATGTGTTAACTTACTTTCATTTAGAAAAATCAACAAACTATCGCCAGGGCACCATAAACTACAGCTTTTGTTTCAAATATTGAACTTTTATAATGCCTGAATGCTCTAAATAAACTTCAAATGTAAACATTAACATTCACATCAGGAACCTTTTCAGCCACTCTGTATTTCTGCTGTATTGAAAAAATATCAAATCGAGAATTGAGAATGTGAATCGAATTCACATTTTTGTGCACTGTTATCACCCCCCAGTAAAAAGAAGTCTCACTCTAATTATAACCCTAACCTTAATAGTTGTTAAAAAAGGGAAAAAAAAGAAATTGAAACCACTTTACAAACCCAGAACCACTTGTTGTATCGGTTTCCTCTCGTTTTCCTAAAGTCAGGACACTTCGTCACACACACCATAAAACCGAGATCTGGGCCATGTGGAGAAACTTTATCCTGGTGAAGGACTGCATTCCTCACGTATCAAAACTGGGTCAGTTTCTAAGACGTTCTATCCTGTCCTCAAACTAAACCAGGTCAGCAGGAACAGCAGCAGAGAACATTCCAGTTTCAGACTGCCAGTTTGTAGACAGTGTACTCAGAATGAGAGGAATACTGCTTCTAAGATCAAAACCTTTCTACAATCTCTGCAACTTTCTGTCTAGCTGGGACTGTTGCTCCCTGGCTCTCTCACCAGTTCAGAGCGCAGTCTCTCCACCTCCTGCGTCTGGTCCAACAATTTCTTCTCCAGCTCCTCAATCTGAGAAAAACAAGAACACTCATTAATCACCCTTTCAACAACCCCTATAGAATTCACTTTTAAGTAATTTAACTTTGTCACCATTGTCAGTACAAAAGTACCGGACATAAATGAAGACAAATATTAGAGTGAAATGAAAAACAGTTAAGTCTGTAGGCACAGTGCTCTCTTACACTGTCCAATATTATTCATCAATAGAAAACAGGGATCATGTTAAACTGAATAAAGTCATGGCTGTGATTTGGTAGCAGCAGATATTCACAGTGACACATCAGCTCGATTGTTCTATGGATTTCCTACAACAGTTTCGCAAAGAAAAGTAAAAAAAAAAAAGGAAAACACATGAAAGCTCAAATGCAATTTCAAATATAATGAATTAATTATTGGAAATTTCTTTGGCCAAAAAAGAAACGCAAACAATGCTAAAACTTAGCAACATATAATTTGGTTGTAAATAAATGACGTTTTTTGGTTTTCTAAATGAAAATAAGTCGACACATCCTCTAAAGAAAACACACTTCTGCGCATTTAAACCCATAATTACCGTTTATGTGATGAATTCAACATACTGAAACAAAAATAAACATAAAATGTGGCCTGTGAAAAAAAAATTGTGGCACATTTTATAATCCATGTCTTAATTATTTAAGTTTGTTCCCTGTTGAGAATGTGTTAATTTACTGTCATTTAAGAAATCAAAGCCTAACAAAGCAATTTCTACATTTTTAAGCTGTTAATATGTTTCTATTTTGCTTTTTTCTCCATTCAAACTTTCCCTACAGAGAATATATGTATATATATATAGCTTTAAAGGATTTAGCACTGCAGAGAAACAGAACATTTGGTTCTGTACAGTTGCAGATGCAGTAGAATGAATAAAACGCATACATTATAGCACAATATCCCAGTGCCACCTAAACGTTCTGCTGCTCCAAAATACAATAAACACTTCAAACTTTCATCTAATCTTAACATCTATCTAGTAACACTGATAATTTGTTAAGAAAAATCAGCCGATATTGATATGATTATGATTTCATTGTGCATCCCTACATAAACATATTAAAGCACTGTGTGTGCAAAAGAGTAGAGGCAGTAGTGCTATGACTATCTAACATAGTAGTTATGATGAAAATTCATAAACATTATAAGTAAATTCTGTAAACACTGTGCGTGTTTACCTGTGTGTGCAGCCCTGTGATGAGAGCGAGCTGTTGGGCCTCCTCTTCAAGCAGAGGGTGCTGTGGGTGAACTTTCCTCTCCCGAGCAGGTTCAGGATGATCCTGTAGACTCTGTGATCCTGCACTTGATCGCCTTACACCTGTAACACAGACATGTCCACTGCTGTCAAAATCTCAGTGCTCTCAGCAAGGTCATTTTAAATTATCAGCTCCTGGGAATTTTAATTGCTCTGTACTCAGCACAGGGGTCCGTTGTACCAACAGGTCATAACTAAGACAGTCTTAACTGGTAAACAGGTTGTAGCTAAGACAAATTTATAAAGAGGCTTCATACCCATTGCACTAACCAAAATTTGTGACTAGGCGCAACCAAGCCGGGTTTTAGCAGCCGATCTGAAAACATACTGTCGCTGTAAAAACAAGTATCTCCAAAATGGTAACTTTACAGGAGAGGTCAAAAACCTTCCTTACTATAAATGTAAGTAAATGTAAAGAGATTTTATTCCATGAATTTGAGAGCATTTCTGTTGGTCCATTCGTCACGAAATTCTCTCAGAGCGATAAGGGCAGCTACTGAAAGTGAATTGATGTAGAAAAGTTAAAATCGACAAAAATGGAGATACATGTTTTTCTGTGGGCAGTGATGATACACAAATACATTTGAGCTGAGTACTAGTTGGGCAGTCTGCGTTACTAAGCAAAACAGCTGGTTGCCAAATGTGTATCTACTGGTTGCATCAAAATAAAAGTCCATGTGAAAAACAATAACAGATGCCATGAATGAACGCTGGAACGCGGGAGGACAGCTTAAAGTAGAATATCGCTGTTGTCGGAAGAAAACCTCGTATCTCCAAAATGGTAACTTTACAGGAGAAGGAAAAAACCTACTTTACTTTCAATGTAAGTCAATGGAACCAGAATTTTTTCCAAGTCGTTTTATGTCATTTAATTTAGTCCATTCATCATGAAATTTACATACAATGTAAAGGGTAACATGTATTTTCAAATTATGTCAAAAATTGAAAAACATCAAAAATGGAGATACGAGGTTTTCTTCCGACAACAGCGATATGCAAAGGAAAACTGTAAAGACCTGATGAACAAGGATAGGAAGGACATATCAAACTCATAAAAACCCATCAGAGAGGCAGGGGGACATCTCCAAAGCAAAGAAAGACTAGCTAGCTATTCAAGATGCATAAAAGACAAGCAACAAGCATCTAGATTCTGTCCTGGAATCTAGATGGCGGAACAAACTTCCACTGGCTGTCTGAACAGCAGTCACTCGCTGTCTTCTTCATGAAGTATTTAAATGAATAATAATCTTGAACTTCAAATAAAAAATAAAAGCCTTGCACTACATTTGTGTGAGATCTTATTTCTGTTTTATGTAACTTTTAGCATAACGATACAGAACATCATACCGTTTAATATGAACCTCTGAATTCAATATGCACAGGTATTGAACAATGCATTCAACAGACCAGAATAAAGTACTCAGATTAATACTTATTATATTGCACAAATGTATGTACAACAAAAATAAAATGAGCAAGCTCACAATGAGGGCAGACTCTCTCTCCTCTGCACCTCAAGAGCTGGGAGGAAAAGCACACTCTTCATAAGTGTATATTAGCTCAGGGCTAACATATTAACTTGTGGCTAGCGCATTATTATAAAATATTTTGCTTTAATAATGCCGAATGCTCCATAAAACTGACAATGGAAACTAATATATCTAACATAAGGCATACATTTTCAGGCATATCTTATTTTTGCTGTATAGAAAAATCTATCAAATTGAGACACTACTGTATCATATTGGACTGAACTATGAATTTTTTATCGTTACACCCCTAATATTGTTCTGTCTGGGTATCTACACTGACTTGCTGCAAGAGTATTTTTAACTCAAACCTATTTGTACTAGCTAAGGATTCATTCTCTGAATGGACAAAAAAGCACATTTGTAAGTAGCTCTGGATTAAAGTTTCTGCTATGGCACCAATGCGGTGTACTCCGGTCTTAGTTTAAAATATATATATATATATATATATATACATACATATACATATATATATATATATATATATATATATATATATATATATATATATATATATATATATATATATATATGTATCAGTTTATAACCAACTAACTAACTAAATTAACACCCAGAAAGACTTAAGATCATGCATCAAGTCCTGTTAGTGGGATCTTATGGATCATAAACTCTAAATCAATTCTCTTTTTCCAGTTTCCCTCACTTACCTGTGCTGAAGTCAGCTTGGCTGAGCTGGTTCTCCTGCAGGCTGGGCGGTTCTAGAGGCTCCTGGTTGGTGTACTGATGCTCTAGGCTGATTTCTGGTTGGTCTTGTCTGGCTACGTGGTCTTGGTAGACCTCCTGCGTTTGCAGCTGCTGGAGAAGCAATCTTTTGGCGGCGTCTTCGCTACACAAACGAGCTTGGAACACTTTCTCTTGTAGTGCCTGCGAAAACATCAAGACTCACACGTTACATTACACACACCTATATACACGTTTTGTAGGAACAGAACTAAAAGCTACATTAGTAAAATACAACTATAAAAAGATTCCACTATATTCTAACACACAAAATACTAGTTTTGCGTGAATCCATAAAAAATGAAGAGAAGCCTGCAACTACCTCTCTAGCACTCGTTCTGGCTAACAAAAAGCCACACATACTACCAAAAATGCACCCCATTCATGCATGAACTCCAGCCAGTTTCTCTACTAGCAGAGAACAGCACTGTGGAAAATGGAGAACGTTCCTTTTTTACATTTGGCAACACAGTACAAAAGACAAAGGAGCTCACAGCTAAGCACAAAGATGGCAAATGAAAGGGGGAATTACGTAGGCAGATGTCCAGGAACAGGACCAAGTGACCTTCTGTACAGGTGAAATGGTGCAGACATGGCCAAGTAAAACACAGACAGAATGAAGAACGTGAGGAAGGTGATGGAAAAAGACAGAAGAGTTGTGAAGGGAGGGGAAAAAAGCAGAAGCAACAAGATCATGTGAAAACGTTCAAATATCGAAGATACTGAGAAACACAGTCTGGAAAAAGAACAACATTTTATTCTAATGTTTTTTTTAGGTTCATTATGATTACTCGATTAAACCTGATTAAAAAGAAAGTCGATTAAAATATATATTCTCAGTGAATCGGCAGTAATTAGTAGGGCAGTTTACTAGATAATAATGCACATTTTATATTCTCCTACTGCTCTCGCTTACAGTAGCAAACAGCCACTCATTTTTACATACAATTTTTGCCGGATTTAAATACAAAGAACATATAATGTGCTTCCTAGTTTATCATTTTTCAAAGAAAGTGCTTGTAAATCTTTGAAAAGCTATGCATGGTTTGTTAATACTCAGTCAAGGTCCTTTTGTATTGTTTGACGCTGATTACTCTAATAATCAAAACAACTGCTAATTGATAGTGACAGCCCTAATGACTTTTTCAAAGAGGCACTTTACAACCTTTATGAAAGACTAATAGCACAGCAGTGAAAGCCAATCAAGTTTTGTCCTTTTCAGGGCAAGTCCTAGACCTAATTCGCAAATACTAATTAAAAGTGCCAAAACATACTCACACAAGCCAGCTCTCTAATCTAGCTGCAGGAGTCGTTTTTGGCTCTTGGCTGGCTGGACAGCCAAGAGTCCAGTGTTCCAATGATTAATCCGATTTGGATTACACTCACAGTATAGGCATTGTGCTGGACTGTATAGCGTGTCGACACGCTACAGACCAGGTGTGCTCTGGCAACAAGTATGACCGTCCCAGGCCAAGGCTATTGTGTGCATTCAGAGAGTCAGTGCAAATTCAAAAGGAACAGGCCTCCCACTGAGAAAAGAACATAGCCTGCAAAACATGTGATCACCATCCAATCAGAGATGAGCCTGAAACAAGAAACACTGAAGAGACTGGAAACAATTGTCTGAGGAGAATCTACCTTTAAAGGGCCCATATTATGGAAAACTGAACATTCCTTGCTTTTTAAGATAAGTTCGATGTAACATGTAGACACTGTTTTGAACTATACCGTTCACTCCCAAGATCATATATGAAAGCTAAGCTGGAAAAAAAAAACCTGTTTTGAATTTTGTGATGTCACAAAAACAAACACAAACACATTCAGACTACAGCAGCTTAGCCCCGCCCACTCACACTGATTATAAGGAGCATTTCAGCCTGGGCTGCTTTCTGTACTTTTGCATATCAGTTGTAAAGACACAATAACAACAAAACATCCTGTTTAATTTCAATAGAAGAAAAGAGGTTGGAAAATGATCATCATGAATGTTTTGATAAATAAAAATATACTTTTGTCATAAGTGGACCTTAAGGGGAAATGTACGATATCGGCCCTGTAAATTCTCACGCTTGAGTTTTCCAAACACACACACTCTTTCTCTTTCTCTCTACCATTTTGCAATACTTTCATGTAAGCTTGTTCTAGTTTTTTTAGGTTTTGTTACGATTACTCGTTTTTATATACAGTTTTTGTATATAATTCAATATTATATTTATACATTTTTCTAATAAAGTGTTTGTAAATCTTTGAAAGGCTATGCATGGTTTATTGATATTCAGTCAAGTTTTTTTTATTTTTTTTTATTTATTGTTTGACTGATTTGAACTATACTCTTCACTCCCTAGTCCATACAGCCCATATATGGAAGCTAAGCTGGAAAAAACCTATTGTGAATTTTGTGACATCACAAAAACAAAACACACTCGGCCTACAGCAGTTTAGCCCTTCACATTAAAGTTGTAAGGAGAATTTCAGCCTGGGCTGCTTTTTGAACAAGGCAGAATGCAGGGCAGCCAATAAAAACTGAGGTCTTTTGCATATCAGTTGTAAAATGATCATCTTGAATGACTGTTTTTGATAAATAAAAATATATAAATGTCATAAGTGGACCTTATGGGGAAATGTAAGATTTTGGCCCTGTAAATTCTCTCACTTGAGTTCTCCAAACACACACTCTTTCTCTTTCTCTCTACTGTTTTGCAAAACGTTCAAGTAAGTCTAAAAACTGCATTGCTTTAATGGATATTATTTACCACTGTTGGAGCAATTAATACCTTGATTCATGCCAGGGGTGCAAAACTCCAGTCCTGGAGGGCCGGTGTCCAGCACAGTTTGGTGATTTACCTGCTCAACCAGGTAGGTTCAGTGGGTGTGTCTGAGTAGGGAAACCTTCAAACTATGCTGGACACCTGCTCTCCAGGAATGGGGCTGTGCACCCTTGATTTATGCAAATCACCTACAGAACCTCATATTGAGCAACATCACTTGCTCAATAAATGAAAATTTATTATTATTTAACTACAAATGTTTTATCATTGCAGGGAGATTCAAAAGAAATACTGAAAATATACCTGAATTAAACAGTAATATCCCAAAACTGAGTGTTAATTATTGCTTCAGCTGTATTCAAGGCTCAAAATCCTAAATAAGATGCTGATGCTGAAGGACTGTATGACTAGGCGCACTTCTGAGCCTTAGGCTTATGTCATTGTCTGCAAGTGCTACTTTTTTTACAGGCTCATCAAAACGTGACTGTAAATGTTTACCTTGCAAGCTTAAAGCAAAAAAGCAGCTCCTTTTAGTTATTAGTGACTAAGCACTGACGGCTGTAGGGACGGCTACAGCCACTGGAAAAAAATCTGCATTACACTGAAGCCACAGAAATCAAACTGACTACACAATAACTGCAACACAATGGTAAAACAGAGATTCAATCTTTGCTCACTAATTAACTAACAGTTGTCTAAAAGTCTTACTGTGATTGCTCTGCACTACTGTGGTCTCTGGCATTGATATGCAATCACAGTGTTTTCTAGTATAAATAAAATTTAAATTCACAACACGGACACAAAATTAAACCTCATGTTTTAGTGATAAATGTCAAACCAGTGTTTTGTTGCTATTATAGCACTGGTGCAGTCATATTGTTAGAAGAGGTCTTTATGAACAGCTCAAAGTAGGATGTGGGAATTGAGTTGAATGATACTGGAAAAACTACAATTCCTGGTACCGCCATGCATAACATTACACTTAAATGACCATCTAATAAACAAACTACCCTGTCACGCATTCACAAATCCAGTACAACAAGTTAGACAGAGAAGCCTGAGGCTAAAGCTGCAGTTTCATTTACAACACAGCTATGAGATCCTGGTGTCGAGTTAAAGGAAAAGTTTGGGTAAAAACAAAAAAACAAAAAAACTATTATCACCCAAATGTAGTAATGTAATTCAGCAGAGAGATGTCTGGTGTCTGATATTACCTTCTTTACTTTTACACTGGAGCTACAAGGATAACGTAACTAACATGTTATGAAATTGCATGTCTAAATCATCACACTAACCTCAAATAGTGTCAAGTTGTTAAACAGGAATTCTACAGATTTTCAGAATTCCTGCATAGTTAAATGGTTGTAAAGATGTAAACAAAGTCAATCAGAGTGCTCTGATGTGACAGAACTGACGGAATCACAGTGGTGGTGATCGCAACCAGATGTCTGAAAAGTCTAAAAGCTCCCTTTCAGAAAATTATTATTCAAAATGGTTATGAATACACTGTCTGATGCCTAAGCTGATGCCTAATGCCAAACCACTCTGAATAACTGTTAACATCTCAACGCTTTATTTGTGGAGAAATTATGAAGAATTGGTTTAAGTAATCTCAAATAGACTGTATGACATACTGTTATCTATAAGGCCTATTTATATAAAGTTATCTATGTCTGTACAGAGTGGTGTAATCAGGTACAGGTGATGACTGCCAAGTAAGCCGATGACAGTTCTTCAAAGGCGATAATCAAAAACTGCATAAGACCAATTAATATTTAAACGAATCAAATTTGAAACAGCTTGCTAAATATAAAATACGCACAATGTTTTATTCTCTTGTTTCTGTTAAAACAATAGATAATTTAGGTATTAATAAGCCATTTGGCTATGGTAAAGTGCATCTACAGCTGAATTCCAGATCGACTCCACTATAATGGAGGAAATCACAGTGGGTGCACGCATGAAATTTGTAACTAAAAACATTTGTGCATTTGTGAGATCCTGATTTCCTCTTTTCTGTGATGCAAACAAAAGCAATCTGAGCGCTGTCAGCTCATCCATGTGCAGAATACTTTTAGGGATGTAACTTTTTGTCCATTTTTAACCACAAAATTCAGATTATGACCAAACTGTCAATTTAAAGTCATGCTGAACAGCAAGCAAAGTGCAATACTAAAGCAAATTTCAGACACCAACCATGTCTTGACTGATGGACTGTATTTGCCGTAAGGAAAAAATAGTGCAAATGAGGTTTTTCACCAAACTACTCCTTTAAACTGACTTGATAAAAGAACAGGTAAAGGGGTTCTACCTGTATGAGCAGCTGCTGCTGTTCTGAGATAGGAGGATCAGAAAGATCAGGGGTCAAACAGGGGACGCTGGAGGACTGTGTTAGGCAACGTCAAGAAGGAGCTCTCCTCTTCACCATCGCTCATCAGGAAATCCACTGAACTTGCTGCAGAGATACACACACACACACACACACACACACACACACACACACACACACAAAATGAACTGTCGAGAGAAAAGTCTGCTGAATTTGGCAAAACACACATTTTATCCTGGTATCTCTGACAGGGCTGAACGTTGAGGGAAACTATATAATTTAATAAATGCAATTTTTCTGACCAATATTACGATAGTGATTTAAATGTGTATTTTCTGTAATTGAAGCTCCTGTATAACATGCAGCCATTGTAGTGCCGTAGCCCAGCATCACCTAAATATGCCATTAAATATTGGTTCACAATATTGGCCAAATCTATAGATACATGTATGTATACATACATATACACATATTTTTAAAAGCACAGTCAAGAATTTGATTCCAATATCATCCCTAATTTTTAAATTAAGCAATATTAGTCCAGCCCAAATGCATTTCTTATTTCATTAGCAGGTAATTTTACTTGTTTACAGCATTATTTCTCCAAACAAGGATAATTATCCACTAATGGAAAGAGATATATTCAGCAATATCCTACAACACTTACAATGACTTACAATGAGAATTTATGATGTGATTATTTTCTGTAATTGAAGCTCCTGTTATTTCACGAGCTTTGTATTATTAGGTTAAATTTCGCCACTTAAAACTTATTAAACCAACCTTTAATAATGCAGGATATAATTAAAACCACAACTGCTCTTTTCAAGTGGCGTAAACAAATAGAAATAAAAACAAACAAGTGCAAACAAATGCATTGTTATGGGGTTTTGATATGTGACACAGAAAATGCAGAAGAGCTGCATGGCCAAGAATGCATGATTTCACAAAACTGGTATCAGGAAATTCAAAAAACAAACCAACCCTCCCACTACAGCCAAACTCCCTGAGTGTCCTCTCTTTCCTCTAGCGGGTCCCTCTGTTACTCCTTCTTATTCTTTCGTTCTCTCTCTATTCCCACAACAACAAATTCAAGGTCCTTCAGGCTCCATGGAAACCAGCTCTGCATGATAAGCTGAAAGATAACAGCCTTGTGCGGGTAACACATTAACTTAACACAGCTACACATACGTCTAGATAAAAAAGTCTATATTTCTCAATCCACAGTCTTTTTATCAGGGAAAAACAAAACAATACTGTGTGACTATACACATGAACAATGCTTTTGCTTATCTTCCTGTGTAAAGTCTTCTTGATTTTGCAACTAAAATGATAAGAGCTACAAAAATAAAGATGATTGCTGATTTACTAGCAAGACTGATTTCAGCTCTGGGATATAACTAGCTGTAGTCACTGCTCAAAGGGGAATTCCACTGATTTTTCAATTTCTACATGATTAAATCTACATAATAAGACGTGAAATCAGTCAGCGTGTTAAATGTGAAACGCTCCGTTCTAGAGAAACTTACTGAGTCAGAAATGTTCACAGTGGTGGTGATAGGAACCAGACGTCTGAAGAGCTGAACACCTCTAAAAGCTCCATCACAAAGTTATTACATGAAGTGATTACAAATAATAAGACAGTGTTTTACAAAGCTTTGAGAAGATTTTGGTTTAAATTTTTTTTTTTTAACACATTAATGGCAGAGGGGTACATGCAGTGTCGTAAGGCAAAATAGTCCCCAAAGAAAAGATTTAGATTTACTTTCCAATTTTCAGCATTATATCCAAAACATCAAAAGACATAGGTTCACTGGTGGCTGTGGATAGTAATTTAAATGGCTATATTTGTGTTGTCAGCATTTGCAACCTCTGGTTCTTATCACCACCACCATTCAGAGATCTGTCTCTACATAATTTGGATGACACTTTATTCTGAGTGGTCCTTTTTAGATGAAACAAACACACAACAGACTCTCGGTAACGTCAAAAACAAAAACATACAAGGGTTAAGATTAGGTTCTGGGTTAAGGTTAACGTTAGGATTAGGATTAGGATTAGGGCCAGGTTTAGGGTTAGGATTAGGTTTTGGGTTGAGGTTAAGGTTAGGGTTAGGTGTTGGGTAAGGTTGGTAAGGTTAGGTTTTGCATAATGGGAGTAACATATTAACAACACATCTACTTAATGTAAGTAATGCATCAACAGAACATCTACAAGATGTTTACTTCAATGCATTCAGATGCTGCACTACTGCTATTTCACTAATATGTTGTTCATGTGTTTATTACTCATCTATAAAGGACAACACAAATGAAGTGTCACCATGATTTTAAGCAGTGCAGCATTTCACGTCAAACCATTCTGAACGACTTTGATTATATCTCAAAAATTGAATTTTGCATAAATTTTGAATATGGATAGAAATTCCCCTTTAAGGCTTGAAAGAATGTTACACACTGCATAAAACATCTCTCTCTCACACACACCAGCTAAGTGTGTTTTCCAACGACACAGCAGGTAAATCATCTCCCTGGCAGCTCTAAAAATGTGCTATGCAAAGCTGTCATCACAGCATCAGTGTCATCATTCAGCTGCACCAGCCAGTAGTTCTCTCTGCTTCCTGCTTTCTCAGCCTCTCTAGTCAATGCCGTTATGCAATATCTTTCATGTACATATCTGCTAATACTGACACAAACACTTATAACATCTTAAAACTGGGACTAGTTGTACCTGGATTAGCATTATATAGAAACATAATACGTATTTGTAGCGTTACAAATGCAGAAAAATAAATAAAATAACACTAAATGCAGCCATTTTTGTGCCGTAGCCCAGCGTCACCTAAATGTTATGCTCTTCCAGCGTGCAACAAATATGTCATAAAATACTGGTTTAAAACATTGGCCAAATCTTTACATACATGTATGTACATATACATATATTTAAAGAACACTGCCAACAATTTGAATCCAATATCACCCCTAAATTTTAAATTAAGCATTTTTAGTCAAGTTTAAATAAAGTTTAGCAGGTATTTTTTCTTGTTTACAATATTATTTCTTGAAACAAGGATAATTATCCATTAATGCAAAGAGATACATTCAACAATATCCTACAAAATGACTTGCAAAGAGAAATGTTATGCCTAGATATTGGCTAGATTTAAGATAATCTCACTTGGCAAGGCACCATTTTGCAGGGTTACCATTTTTCTCCCACAGCCGCGTTAATGTTTACGCGTCCCTGTTGTCACCGTGCGCAGCTCTGTAAAAGAATGCATTGATACACACAATAACCCACTGTTCAAACTGCCCTGTTTAAAGCTCCTGTCTCTAAGGAGCTTTACCCCTCTGTACCTGGAGCCAGTGCACATGCCTTTCTCCCCCCATTCAGTTCAGAATCCTGTTCTTCTTCTATCACGTTCTCTTCCTCTGTTCTTCTTTGCTGCCTTCTTGTCAACAGAGCCGGACAGACGCAAACAAACCCCTGCTCTGTCCCTCTCTCATTCACACACACATGCATGCACTCGCTGCCACCTGAAAAATGTCGCCACACTGGTTTAAGTGAAACCATGTGACCGGCGCTCACCATCCAATGAGTGGTCTTGGTAACAGAGCTGCTGCAGGCAGGGGGTGTGGCCGAGGTCCCAGGTCTTCCGTGTGCCGAACATGGCCGCCGGGCCGAGGAGACCACACCGCTGGACCGGCTATGCAAACACAAAGAAAAAGCAGTTAAAGCACTACTCAGCTGGAGTTTTACATTTTTGCCACTTTATTAGAAACACCGACCTTGTACTTTGGCCATTTTATTAGATACATCCATCACATAGTAATTGTTATTACAAAGGGCACCTAACTGTAGACTGTAGCCTCCTTCTACCCCCCTTGCTTACAGCTGGTGTACCAACTGTGACCATCTGCTGATGTACAATTTATGAAAGTCCAGTGATTCCCCACAGTCCTCAGAGCCCCAGAGATGGTCCCCTTTTTCCTCTATCCCCATGTGCTGCAAGTGGGGTTGGAGCAAAAATGTGGGCTGTCTGGGTCCTTTTGACAATCACTGCTCTAGTCTGTCAACAACGGTCAGCTTCTGACAGTGCTGGGCGATACTGATACTATTCGACATTATGATATTTTCTATATATTTTACAATATACCACAAGAGACGGCACTAATCTGATACATGTATTAGTATCGGGCAGATATTATTATTATTAGATAGGGAAAAAAGGTGAATGTGATCCAATCCTGACAAATATATCCTAAAACAGCACGCACTCACACACTCACTCTGTGTGATATGAGATTAGCTGTGTAGCTCTTCCTGTTGTGTAGCACAGCGGTATTAGTTTCAGCACGATGGACTACTTTTCAGTGATCATCTTAAGTGAAAAGTCAAGTGTTTCATTTAAGAACAGCTTAATTTTTCAAGATGTACTGGCTCAGGATCTTTATCAGCTGTCACTCAATATTGAAATAATATGCCATCTCTATACAGTACAGTTTCAGATGTTATATTAGCTTGAACGAATAACATTAATGAGACTATGCTTCCTAAGTGCTGCTCTATGCTAGAAGAATGTCTTACTAATCTGGTAAGTACATCATGATTGGAGTGTTTTGTTGTGTTCCTACACAGTATTGCAAATGTTAACCAGACAGAAATCACATTTCCAGAATGGGCGCTTACCAGTTATTCACTTACGTGTACTGAAGCGCCCAGCAAATAACACATTGTAGTTACCCAAGATTCTGTTATCAACACCGCTTTCTATTTTCTATAATTTTATTACATCGATTTCCACTCTCAGCCTGGCACTGTTGTGCCTGATACACTCGTCCCACCACCACAACCACAGTCAACGCTGTGCTGAGAACAGACCACCCAAATAATATCTGGTCAATAGTGGTCCCATTTTCCAATAATTGCCAAAGAGCATCTATATAATAGGTTTTTCTGATAAAATGGCCAGTGAGTGCAGCTACAAGGTTAGAATATGAACTGAAGCAACGCATTAACAACTCTTTTGCAAGTGACTACATTTCCCAAGTCTCATCTGCAGCCATGGTAACCGCAGATTATTCACAAATTCCAGGACACTGACCACAACCATGCTCTGACTAATCAGATTACTGAAGAACGACCACAGCTTTCACATGTAAAGTTTAAAATCCACTGACAACAAACAAACACGCTAGTCAACGTTACGGAAAGTGAACTTTGGTGACACTCTCAGGCTACACACGTTCAAACAGGTCATCTAAAATACAAACACAGAAAGATGGGGAGGTTTTAGTGCCTATGGTCCAGTCCTAATCTGCTTAGTGTAACTGACCAGAAGACACACTCTTTTCAGGATCAATACCATGCTGTGGAAGCCCATTTATAGTGTTGGGTTATCATAACACTCACTCAACGCCCCTTAACTGCCCCCCCACCTGCATGCAACAGTATCTTCTACAATCAGGTAGCATTAGCTGGCCACAGCAAAGGACAGCGCACAAGCTGATAGGTCAGTCAATGGGCTGACCTCTCCACTACTACAGTTGGAGGAAGCTAAAGCTGGTTATCTGCTGGACACTGCACTCTTTAAACCAGTTAGTCAACAAGTGTTTGTGCGTATAGGAGTTTTTACATATAAAAGAGGAAAAATTAAAAAAAGAAATCATAATAAGACAGTGTTGTATATATACACACACATCTAGCCCATGTATATGACCATGAGCTATTGATTAAATGCAATATAAATAACTGCGATTTACAGTTTGATTAACTTGATTTGTTTATTGCATGAAACTATTTAAATACAAGCGTAATCAGCTGATGAATAGTCTCGCTTCCTAGCTGTTTAGATGTAGTAGCTCCAAACTAACGGCAGATATTGTTTCTGCTTTTCGTGCAGGGTCTCAAACAAACAAACAAACAAACAAACAAACAAACATTACTCTGTCATCCTCTAAAGGCACCACAAACTTCAAATAAACACAACGCTACTCACTGCTGCCCTCTATAGGTTTATTAACAAACATTACTGGCATTTAAAGGCATAAGAGCTCTTCAAACTTTAGATTTTTTGTTTTCGCAAGACAAACAAAATCTCTGTAAAGATGTTTTCTGCTTCTTTTCATCTAAATGAATTTGCCACAACCCAACAGATGAACACAGGTAATTCACATTCTGTTACTTACCAAGTAAACATATGACTGTGAAAGCTAACAATGGTCAAAAATAATCACAGTCAGCTTAAATTTGTAATAACTGTGACAGGCCTAAGGAATCATAACATAAAAAGTACATTACCGCAGTACTTTTGAGCCATTTGCAGCACCATACACATGAAAAAGCAGACAGATACACAGAGACACAGTCATTTAGTACAGTTGTCAGTCCCATGGCTCCATCATCTTGGTCATGACCCCTGATCAAACTCCAGTAAAGCCATCCTGGGTCAGGCTAATCTCACCAGAACCTTCCCTCTGCTACTATAAACATCACATCAGATCTCACTGCTGCATCACCACCTTACTGTACTCTACCAGCACCACACATACAGAACTCAACAGGCTATTTATTGACTCACAAAGGACAGCAACACTCAAACACACCAACACACACCAGAAGTCCTCTCTTCTTGCGGCCCATGGTGTGACCATTGCGGTCGCGGCCTCTTTCCCGGTCCAGCCAGCGCTTCTGGAAAAGTGACCCCATCAAGCCCAACATCTTTGCCCACTCTATGCTAAACTACTGAGCAGCTAACGTTAGCACCAACTCTTCACCCCAGCTTCTATGCTACCCATTGCAGTAGACGAAAGTGGGAGGGAAAACTAAGGCAGAAGAGAGCATAGCTATCTGCTGACAGGTAAGAGTGCTGTGTCTTTTCCCCCCTCCCGCTGTGATTACCCATAATCCTTTAAGCCCGTCAGCAGATGGCCTCCTGCTCCCTCCCTCTCGTCCTCTGATGCAGGGACCAGACGTTCTAGGCCAAATGCAGAGGCAAACCCTCATCAATAACAACAGGCCCTTTTCTTAGATCTTCACGCGCTGCAAAACCAAACAGTGCCTCCTAATGAAATATTTTCAGTATTAAACAAAATAACTTTTAGTATTTTCATTCCTTTATGCATATGGGCTCGCACTACATTCAAACTGTACTCTACCTACAGGTAAATTGAACTGTGCATGCTAATTTGGCTCAGATGGGCAGAGACTAAGGATGTGCATTCAGACTGAATCTGATATTGAGAGTTCATGAACAGCTATCCAGTTATTAATAAAAAATGCAGACCAAAATTGGTAGTTTTTTAATGTTGGATAAGTAACTGAGGCTCTTTTGCCTCTTGGTAACTGGTACAACACTGGACTTGTCATACTTACACTAGATCCCATGTGTCAAACACAAGACCCGCGGGCCAAATCAGGCCCGTCACACAATCCTATCCAGCCCGCAAGTATTTTAATTTTCTATTAATATTAGCCCGTTTCACAATGCGCTGCACTACAGTACCCAGCATGCACTGCAACGTAATGGGCTCTGACTCTCCAACCACAACAAGAGTCTATGGGCCAGCAGTTACTCAATTCTACACAATTCCCCACCATTCATATCACCAAACGCACTGGCTGCATTTCAGCTGCAGTTCAATCAATATAAACACTAACATCAGCTCAGCAGCTCAGGAACTGAGCCCAAGTCTCAATGAACCTGCAGCAAAGAAAGGATGCCAGGGGTCTAAGTTCAAGCAAATAAGCAGGTTTAAAAGACCAAATACTGAATATTTCAAGTGCCCATGTAATATTTCAAGGTCTACTACAAGTGTCTGTATTTTATGATGAAGGTTTTATTTCACTAAAATGTGTGAGCTTGTGCTCCTACAAACAACCAACAATAATCCAATTTATATTTGTTTTAAACACAGTGAAATGACTGTTGGTCTATACTGAACTTAGTCAACAACACATCGAATTTTACAGTCTATATTCACTCATCTCACAGTTTCCAAGTCTCAAAATGCCTTTCAGAACATGCTAAATGAATTTAACATTGAAAAAATAATAATCAGATCTTAAGACTATTTTTCTGTGTTCAAACAAATAAACATTAGATGTCGAGACAGTGATAAAGATTTAACTACTGATCATAGCATAATTTTGGTAATGAGAATTGTGATACAACATTTGGTACTAGCCAATGTATTGTGATATATCCTACTGTCATGACCCTTTTCTTCGCTTCTTTCGCTTTTCTGAATATATTGTGGATATTATCAGTGCTTAAAGAATAGTGAACATAGTACTTGAAGAACATGTTCAATAAAAATCATTGTACCCAGAGTTTTTGAGGGCAGTTTGTAAATGATGAACCACTAGTGCACTGGTATCTGTAATAACCCAATTTACCCAGTTTTGGATGACAGACTTCCATTATCTGTTACCTACAGATGGACTGGCGACCCGTCCAGGGTGTATCCTGCCTTCCGCCCAATGACAGCTGGGATAGGCTCCAGCACCCCACCGCGACCCAGAAGGATAAGCGGTTTAGATGATGTATGTATGTATGTATGTATGTATGTATGTGAATTGTTGAATCGTATTTATTTTATTTATTTAGTTTTTCATACATACATACACACACACACACACACACACACACACACACACACATTATATATATATATATATATATATATTACTTTTAAGGCAAGTCAA